GGTATATGAGTGAGCAATCATATACAAATACATATAAATGCTCTATAGTGTAAGAAAAAACAGTGATCAATGTTAAGTAACAGATCTTGTTTTTCATCCTTTGGGGTGATATGCTGCCCTCCTCACCACTAGAAAAGACAGTAGGGGAACTGGTTTTTATAACAACCACCTTGTCCATGTGACAGGTTGTCCTGGGTTAAATATTTCTAGTAGCAAGCCTAAGTCTGGCATATTTCACATTACTATACCATTTCTCTGAAGCAGATTTTAAATGCATTGCTTCCTGTATAATCCCTTGCTTTCTTTCTTTCTTCAGTGCACCCCAGAATGAGGCTTACAGGAAGTAAAAAAAAAAAGAGTTAATGTTTTACTGTCTGATGCTGCTATACTGAACTGAGAATTTGTAGGCAGGGAACAGCCACACTAAATTTGTGAGCATGGTGTAACATACATGCTAACAAAAGAACAAGCAGAATTATAATACAGGGTTTCACAGTTCTTTGAGGACTTTTGAATGAATTTAGTAAAAGACTCATAAGTCATGAAAGAAAAACTTTATTTGAGAAAAAATTGGCATGAATAATCTTGAGACTCTTCTTGGTACATCTACTTAATGGATCTGCCATTAGCATTGATAAATTCTTCTATACAAGTTCTGAAACATTGACATGTTCGAATTAGATGATCTTTATCTATTTTGGACACTGTGTTAGTTGTGGCGGGATTCAGCAATTTTATAGTGCTATGGGAATGTTGATTGACTTCCCTCTTGACTATGCCCCATTAGTAGCTTAATGAATTCAGGTCTGAAGAATTAGGAGGCCATATATTTGCGGTGACATGATCATGGAGATTTTAACTCATCAATTCTTGGCTTGTCTTGGCCTTAGATGTAGTCTTCCTTCGCTCATGCTCTCTATCACAGGCTTCACAACCCTCTCCAACACTTCTTTATAGTGAGTATCATTGACCCTTAAGTCCTGAGGAAAGAAGGGCGCAGAGGCATGACTTTTCCCTTGTTTGCTCATGACTCTCAGAACCATCACATTGTGTGCATGACTGCTGTAATGTCCTTAGGGTCTCTATCTATCTACCTGCTATTCTTTTGGTTGTTCTTTTGGTCCTGATCAAAGTTTTTTTTTCTTAGAAAATCACATATGACTTTTATCAAAGCCCATCATGCACAATTTTTCAGAAAGTGTCTTGAAACTTTGAATTTTTTTGCAATGGCATTAAATGATTTTCTAGTCTTCTTAATAGTTTTCTGTACTTTTTTTTTGTGTTCTGATGGTATTACAACCATTAGCAGGCGTATTATGTTTAGCTACTGCTGTAGAATTCCTGTCAGTATCTTCCAGGTCTTTGTGAACTTTGACACCAAATGAATGTGCAACTTTCAGGAAGTGAACAATTTTTAAATCACTATGCTCTGCCTTTAAGGCAGTGTGTCTTTTCACTTCTTGAGTTATTTTGATGTTTGTCATCATTTATCTAAAAAGAAATGATAATCAGATAAAGTTAGAAAAAAAAACTTTGATCTATTAAAAGATGTGTTCTCAAAGAATAAAGGAACCCTTTATGATAGGGTAAGTAGACATTCATTGGACAAGTCTAATTTTATTCATTGAGCTCTCAATGAAGGAGAAATTCACAAGGAATGGCTTGCAATGTAAGTGCACTATCCTACTGTAGTCATTCCAGGTTTTATTTTTTCTGTTCTAGTTAAATTTTTTAATTAAAACTGTTCTCAGATTGGCTCATCTCATATTTTGATTTCTGTTTGAATAAATGATATATGAGTTGCTTTTTATCTTTCTAATTCCTGGGGATCTGTCTCCAATGTAGCTTCTACCCATTGTATTAAAAAGATTAGTATCAGATGTATGCCTTGATACCTGTGGCAAAAGCAAGTGTGACTGGGCTAACTTTTGAGAGAGCCCAGCATTAAATTGACTTTGATTATGATTGCCATTGTGTGGTGGTAAATGAATAAATAAAAGACAGGGCATAAAAGTAAATGTTAGGGTCAGTTTAACATAATTAACCTAGTGCCATCTTTGCCCTCATGGGGAGACATATAAATATCAACTTATTTATTACATTGATCAGTCAAAATCATCAAAATTCATCCAATACAAGACTTGAGCCACTCATGGTAGAGGATTATTGTGGGATGTATGAGCATAAGAAAAGGCAAAAAATGAAGTTCAAGAGGTTATGCAGGAAAGATAAGTTAACTTTAAACTTGAAGAGGTCAAGATTGTAGTGATTGGGAAAACATCTTACTGGGAGTTTGTTCAATAAAGGAGCAGTTCTTGGGAAGAAGCTGCCAGAGTGGAACTTACACCTTACTAATGGAATATGAAGGGAATGGGGATGATTCACTATTGTGTATGTGGCATGGTGGGTCCCAGCTCTATTGGTCAGAACTGGTAGAATCAAGGCATGTAGCTCGTCATAACACATACCATGAAAAAACCTTTCATTTGTGGGGAAAGAGGTTGTAGGGTGGAAAGTCATTATGAACTCCATGATCCTTTTAATGGCTGCATAGCATTTACTTTTCCAGGGCTACATATGGTTTTGAATTCAGAGTTGTTTTCCTCCTAGACTGGTTATCAACCACAGCTGGAGAGCTGTATGCCCTGTTGTTTAACCCACAGCTGGAGGAAGAAAAGATGGATTCATACCTTTCTGAAGGATATTTGTGCAAAAGTGAATGTAATGAACATGACTGGAATTTGAACCTGGTTTGCTGATTTCTTGTTCTGTAAATGCCTTAATCCTTCTATAAATATTTGATAGATTATTTTTTACTTGTCTGTTGTCAAATAAAATGGCCTGTTGTTACTATCTTCCTGTCAAACTATCTGATATTGGATTTAAGAATCTTCAAAAATACACCATCTGATTTTTGAGAAGGTGATCTAGTGGATATAAGCATTAGTTAAAATGTATTGCAGTTACCATATTTATTAGGTAATGGTATCCATACCCTCTACTTCAATACAAAGAAGTATGAAGCAGCACCATAAGGTCACAATAACAATCTGAATATGATATCCCCATATGTTGTTATTATCAAACATTTTGGCTTTTGTGCCCTCCAGCCTTCATCAGGTGCTTGCTGATTCAGGGAATTTTGAGTTCAACCCTTTATTTAATCTATTTATTTTTAGAATGAAATAATTAGCCAAAATTGACACCTGAAGATGTTAGAATAGTACACAGCTGAAATGTGATCTACAGTAATCTCTAACAACCAGAAATGAAAACAATTATTCAAATGACTCAACATGTGATGATAATTTCCAATCTCAAAAATTAAAAAAAATAAATTGCCTGTTAGTAATTTTACAAATTTGCAGGTTGTAAACTTGTATAAGTGGGGTGAGGAAGATGTGCCAGGGCCAGTCAGTGTCATGGTGGACCAAATATAAATGTATGTAGTTGGGTGTGTTTCCTTAGTGAAGACCAACAATGTAATGAGAGTGACCTAATTCTTTGTTTTCACTTCTTTTCCAATCAAGTTGTTTCAGTCCTTATCAATTCCATAAATGTTGAATATATATTATTTATTTTACCATGTTAGGATAATTAAATATATATATATAATTTTCAGTCAACTTGGTTTGGACATGTTCTATTTTGATAATGTTTGACCCTTTTGTTACTCAAGTTATATTCCTAGTGATGTAAACTTATGATCTCTGTTTCAACCCATTTTGATGCGCTCTCCAATGTACACTTTATGGTTCTAATATTTTCAAACTGTTGTTTTGATTTTTTTTTTATTTTAACCTTGTGTTGATTTCTGCTTTAACATTTTTTTTTATTCTGTTAGCTTAACCCTTTCACTGTCAGAAGTCTCATTTGTGACTTTTGTGTATGCACAAATAAAACTACAAACAAATTCAGAATCTTGTTACACATGTGTTATAATTGGTTTGATATTAGCAGACTGGGTATAAGAAATATTGGTTGCCAGGAGTCAAAAGGGCCCCACCCACAATTACAATGCTATCATTTAATTTTCATAATGAATAAATAAGATTTTCAAAAGATACATATGGAAAAATAAATTTTCAAAAAATATATATTGAAAAATAGGTACAATTAAAAAATTTTTGTGGAAAAAAAAATGTGTATTTCTTAGTAATTACACTTACAGTGTACATGCACAGTACTTAATATTCAGTAATAATTTCTGGTAGTAGATACCAAATGTAAGTACAGAATAATGATTATAATTGAAGTTTTTATTTATTTTTTTTAATTTTAAGGAATTGGTTGATATTTTAAATAGTTTACTCCACAATTTACACATTAACAGATGGTTCAAAGGTGCAATAGAGCATTGTATGTAATCCACTATATTAAGTTTGTGTCCACTAGATTGTTTGATTTTGCCAATAATTGCTTTTGCATCCAATTCATCTAACAATTCCTTTTCAATGGATAGCAACATGTATATTTTTTTAACCAATTCACTCCATGCAAGATGATACTGCCACTAAAATTCAAGCAGTTGCTGGGGTGGGGGAATGAAAGAAAAAGAAGACTTTAGAAGAAGGAATGGGAAACTGAATCCTAAACAGGAAACAAGGGACAACCCTCTACTCCTGTTCAAAATTCTCCTCATACAGCAAATTTATTAATCTTGGTTTTATGATCTTTGAAAATATCCTTTCATATTGAACTTGACATTTGCAGGTGACATTATAACGTTCTTATTACTAAAACCGTTGTCTGTATTTGTTACTTTATTGCATTTTTATTTGATATAAAGGGCCCACTTCATCAGGAGCCCACTTGTCAATGGGCAAGCTGACACCCTGGCCAGTCCACAGTTGTGGCTGGATAGGATAATTTGTAAGTTGTGTGCTCTGAGTAAAATTGGTTTTGAATATAGCAATGATAATCAATTTCAATACTTATGTTTTACATACTTTATATAAGAACTGGATACAGTCATAACATTGCATTGTTTCTCTTTTCAGTTACCTCAGCTTGAGAGTTGTGAATGTCTATGATGTCGATCATAAAACGTACTTAATAAAACTGGCACTGTAAGTATTTCCTTTTGTCTAATGTTTTAACACATGTAAGGCTGCATTCATATTTTGAATTTAAGGCCAAGCAGTTTTTCTTATCTTCTGAGCTGACCCTATCAGTTAGTGTTTGATATAGGGTTTGAAGTTGTTTTTCTCAAATTATTGATTTCATTAGTATTATATTTCTTCCATTTCAAGATGACCAATATGTCATTACATTTATAATGATTTTTAACTTATCTGAAGTTGGTGACATCTTCAGTTATCATGATCATGAATCCTGTAACTCATAGTCGTAGGGGCACCACATGTACTGCAGCTACAATAGAAGTGGTATGTCTTTTGTCAAGATAGCATGATGGAGCCCAACTCTCTCCAGGCTAGTTTGAATTCAGTTTTCTTTCTCCGAGACTGGTTGCTACCCAAGGCTATAAAATGCAGTCTGTCCTGCTATTTACCCATAGCTGCAGGGAGATGAGATAGATTCATACTTTTCCCAAGTGTAATAGCACATAAATGAATAATGAATTCGACTGGAATTTGAACTCGGCTATCTGATTCCTCAATGAGCTGCGATCTATTGCTCCATGCCTCCTATCTTCAGTTATACATTGTTAAAATTGGCTTTTAGGCCAGTAGCACAGGAGATGACAAACTGATGAACTTTGAATGGTCATAATTTTGTTGCTAATTGAGCTACTAAGATAAATTTGGTACCATTTTTTTTCGATGTTTTGTCAAGCTCTCTGTCTGTTTAAAGGTTTTTAGATATATTGAAAATAAAACATTAGTTTGGGATACCTACTTGAAGCAAAGATATAGATTTGTATGCCATCAACTTCATTGCTTCAAAGAGTAAGCTTCAAATGGCTGAGGAAACAAAATGAGATTTCTTGCCTAATTTTTAATAATAATAATTTTCTAAAATCTCAGTTTTGATTTTGTATTTTACAAGCGTAAACATACAATGCAACCCTCACCCTAAACTATCCGCTGACTGTGCAATGATTACTTTGGCTCTTCCTCCTACCAACTCCTTGCCCATCTACTCATCCTGATATGGAGGTTCTGAATTGCATGACTGACATGTCAGTCTCCCACCAAGTGTGAACCTGAACTCCTGATCCCAAGTATGAGTGTTGATATAGATCAGCACCTGGATATACCCTATTTCCAGTTTTGTTGTCACTTGATCTCCAAAAACTTTAATCCACTCGCAAATTTATGTTTGTAAGATTTATTAAGTTTATTATCTCCCTATCGGTATGTGGCTGAGTGGTTAGAACATTCGCTTCCTGATACATGCAATTTTTGTCTGCATTAAGGAACTACATCTCTGCTTTGTTAGCACTTCCATGTCAGATATTATTTTGCTCAACTGTCAATCAGCTGTTATCTGTAATAAGCCCCCCTCCCCCAAATTATGGGTTAATGGTGGGAGGTTCAACCTTTATTGCTGTACCATCACCATCTGAAGGCTTGTGACCAAAGTGTTTTTTGAAAACATTGGTTCTTGTGTTGAAAACACTGAAGCTAAGCAGCACTGAGCCCAGTCAGTACTTAGTAGATGGGGGATTGTTTGCAAAGACCAGATATTGTAAGTGATCTCCTACAGTGTAAATGATGTTTTGGTTTTAAATAACCTAAAAAAGGTTGATAAACCGTAAAAAAAATAAATTAATCAATTAGCCACCTGTGAAGTCCTGGACTAACATAATAAAATAGGGGACATTACTTTTGGATCAATCCTCACTTATATATAATTGTTTTCATCAACCAGGTTTTTAAAAAATTCTTTCTATTTAAGTTGTTTTTCTTTTCTTTTCTTTTCTTTGTTTTTTTGCAGGCCAGACAAAAAGGCAGTTCTGGTGATTGAATCTGGTGTTCGCATTCACAGTACAGAATTTGAATGGCCTAAACATGCCGCACCATCTGGGTTTGCTATGAAGGTGAGAAAATACTGATAAAAACTGCATACACATTGATTCTTTCAGACATGTTTTATTGTCTTTGTTGCTTTTATTAATTTTTTTTTCAGCAGCTGTACTCTCCAGCCTTTTTCAGGTGTTTGCTGTATTTAGTAACCTGTGTGAATGTTGAATGGAACCATTACTTGATTAACAGGTAAAGCTCATCTGGTTCCAGGAAATCAGAGATGCTTTACCAACAACAGATACGTGATAAAGGTTGGAGAGTACAATGGCAGAAACATGAAACAGACCAGGATGATCCATTTCCTGTGACACAGGAAGCGGACAATAAGGATCCAACCCCTGACATGTGAACACATCCCATACATTTATGGAATTGTTAGCAATCTGCAAGGTACCTTATTTAAAATGAGTTCCATGGCAATCAATTCTTACCATCTGCCTGAAACAACTAGGACTCATCAGTCCATGCCACATTGCCAGTCCTCCAGAGTCCAATTAACAATGTCAGAAGCCGAGTTCCTATGTCCATTATCATGGTGTTAAAAGGTAGCTCTGTTACATGGAAGCTGAAGAACACTGAACTGAATATGCCACTCCTGTATTGGATGTGATTTGAGCCAGTGTCACTTGTCTGTTACCATAGACAATTCTAGGCAGGCGTCTCTGGTCACAATCATTATGGATCTATAGTCGGTCATTGCACAGTCCCCTCTGGACAGTAATACCGTCCATCAGGTATTCTTAGTTTACATGTAAACTAAAAGGTGTTAAATATCCTCATTATTTCAGGAATAGAATCTCCTATTTCTCTTGTACCCACCATCATACCATGTTCAAAATTTGATAATTCATGTTGCCTTGTCATGAACAGCTTATCTGACTTACCAGATGTCAGAGCATAATTGACAAGATCTGTGCACTTCTATGATCTCAAAATATGGTGGTTTTACTTTTACATACTGCAATCTTTTGGCACGTCAGTGTATGATAGTTACAACACCTCATGTCAGAACTTCAAATGAAAAATACAAAATTCATTATTTATCAGTATAATTAAAAAAAAAAATCAAATTTCAGTCCAAATGCATTTGAGTACATATTTAATAAAAATGACAATAATTTGCTAGACTTTGTTACTAAAATTAAAAAACATGGGAAATATGAAATTAGAATCAAGAAAATTCAAGCAAAGATCTTTGGTATCTTGAGAAAAAGATTAAATTGTTTATTGTAAGTTAAAATTTACTTCATTAACATTTAGCACTTTGCATCATTTATAAATATTACTTCCCGTTTTACTGCATTGTGTTTTATATATTAGTTCTGTATATTTGAAATTACAGTAGCCTGGCTCTCAATTTCAGTCAAGATTGTTTTAGGTATTATCATAGAAGGATATGACTACACAACGAAGAGATTCAAATTCAACATGCATTGGCAGGACTAACATTTTGCTTGGCAAGAATAGTCACCTACAGAATGCTAAAGTTAACTGAAAACTATTGTGAATTGACTGAAGTTTGTAGAGAATTTGTGCCAGATTTCTGATGTCAAAATATAAAATTCTTTTTGCCTCCAAGATGATATTTGTTTGAATAAATTTGTGTATAATTATGATAATTTCTCCAGTCAGAAATTCAGACAAAATGCCATGAATTTTCCATTTTGGGCTAACTTTTTTTTATCTACATTAAAATTCTACACACAGCTGAGGAAACACATACGTGGGAGACGTCTGGAATCAATCCGACAGTTGGGCATTGATCGAATTATTGATTTGCAATTTGGCTCTGCGGATGCTGCTTACCATGTGATTTTGGAGTTGTATGATCGAGTAAGTTGTATTTAATAATTAGTAATTAATTGATAATTAATACTGATAATTGTAGTATAAAAAAAAAAAAAATTGACGGTCATATTTTAGTAATTTTACAATTTATATTTTCTGTATTATTAATCTGGAATTTTTACTTGTACAATTAACTTTATTGATGCATATATAAAAATTTTGCTTTTTAAATCACAAGTAAAAAATTCAAAGAAAGCTAACATGAAAGAAATAAAATGCAATGTATTAACAACCTTATCTCTTCTGTGGTAGGCAATCATCATGGCGAATGTCATTTGCCTGAAAACTAGCTTCAGCAAAAGCGTTAAATTGACTCTTCACTTTGTTGAATGGTTTATTTCAACGAAAAATCAAAAGTTAGAAAATTAAAAGGAGGTAATTTTTATATCTGAATATAGATTTTTAAAATTGTGTACCATTTAAAAATTTTGTTGTTTATTTACGATAATGTATATCTTTTTCTTCATAAATTCATCACTGAAGCCAAAACAAAATATGCTTATAACATATGATTTCTTAAAATTTAAAGAAATATTTATTTATTTTTTTTATTTATTTATTTACTTACTTTTTTTTTTTTTAAATTTCATAATTGGGAGTGCTTAATTGATAGTAATATATGAAAAAAGGCATACCAGATTACAAATTTCAAAATATTTTTTATCTATTTATATTTTAAAAAATCAAGGAAAATATTTTGATGACTGAATAATGATGCCATGAATTTATATGGATAAAAGGATGTTAATAAATGCTGGAAACTTTATCAATTAACAGAAAATAAAATGCACAATTTAGCTGAAAGGTAGCATAAGGTCATAAAAATCTAAAGAAAATATATGTGATTGAATAATGATTTTTTGAATTTACATGAATAAGATGTCTTTTTTCTTTTATTTTAAGCTGGGAACACAAATTTGTTTCATTTTGTTTCTGCTTCTGTTTTTGTCCTCTTCAGGGTAATATTGCCTTGACTGATCATGAATACACGATCTTGAATATCCTTCGACCTCGTTCAGATGAAAGTCAAGATGTGAAGCTCATTGTTCGACAAAAGTATCCACTTGACATTGCTAAAGATGCAAGCCAAATTGTTTCTGAAAAGTGAGTAAATTGTTGGAATTCAGATTTTATTCCCTATAAAATCCAGAAAATTTATGCCACATGATGAACAAAACCTTGTAGTTAGATTTCATTAATAAATATTTCAGAAAAGCACTTACTTTCCTTGCCTTCTTGGTAAAGTATGGAATATGCTGATGGCATACATTGCTAAACAGCCACCTTCTGAGTGGATGCTTGCAGACTCAAGGATAAACAAGCACAATATTTACCTGCATGGACCCAGTCATGAACTCGAGCATGGACCCAGTCATGAACTCGAGCATGGACCTGACAATATTTACCTTATATGGTCTCAAGTATATACCCAAGTAATGTTTAATTATATAGGTCTGGGTATATACCTGGCCAGATATAGACTCAGACCTATATAATTAAACATTACTCGAGAATATAGATATAGACTCAGACCTATATAATTAAACATTACTCGAGAATATATACCTGGCCAGTGCTTATCTATATAGACTCGAGAATATGTACCTGGCCAGTGCTTATCTGTATACTCGAGACTGCATACCTGGCCAGAGTTTTACCTATCTGTATAGGTAAAACACTGGTCAAGTATGTATCACTCTAAGTACTCTAATGAACCTGACTGGAATTGGAACTCTGCTCCCCGAATTCCAAGCCATTATCCATTACACTACCTGCACATCCAAGTTTACAACACCTGGTATTCCCAAGTCATTGACCCAACTCAGCTTTGCTTAACTTTGGTGTTTGTATGTGAACTGGTGTTTTGGTGTGATATGGTTGTAAAAACCAGCATTGTTTGAGGCTTCCTTCCAAACTTTTAGTTTGAAATAGTGGGGAATATCAACAGTTTACTAATGAGCATTTCCAATATGTTATCTTTTGTGTTAACTTCATCTGTGGCTTCTCTGTCATGAGATGTGTCTGTGTGTTGCATTTATATTAATTTAAATGATTTTATCTAATTGTGTAAACTCTCTTTGCAGGATTCGTGAGCTTTTACTATCAGCTAAAGATGGAGACCAAATGAAAAGGATACTCCTTCCAGCAACAGGTTAAATTACTTTTAAAAATTGTTTTTCTTTCTTTTTAATCAAAATTAAACTCTTTTCTTACAAGTAAGTCAAAAAGTTTAGAATTCTTCTGTGTATATCTTGTCTATAGTTTTTGACTACAGTCATATCACATTGAAACACCTGTTCTCATATGATCACTGAAGTTAAACAAGATGGTGACCTCTTGGGAATACCAGATGCTGTAAGCTTGGATGTGTGGGTGGTGTAATAATGGATTATGCCTTGGAATTGGAAATCAGAAAGCAGAGTTTGAATTCCAGTTGGTTTTATTATATTTACTCATGTACAAATGTCCTTGAGAAAGGTATGAATCCATCTGTTCTCTCTCCATCAATGGGTTAACTAGTAGGACGTATATCAGTAAAATCATTATTATATCCAAAAAATTCTTACTATCAAAAATGATTTTCTGGATTTAAATAACTTGTAAAAAGTAGATAAGCTGTTAAAATAAAAAGACAAATCAATACAATTGTCTATAGTTTTGTAAAAGATATTTAAAAAGTGTATGTATTTTTTCTTTTGAATCTATGAAACTATTTTTGGAAGCAATTTCTCAACTTTAAATTCATTATCTTGTTGACACATTCATAAGCAGACTAAGTTTGTGAAGCCGAACTTAAGGAAGTAAATAAATGTATTAAAAAAAAAAAAAAGTGAACACTGACATCAACAACAAGTGGTGACAATCTGTTTCATACTTGACCACATTATGCATATATATATATAATATATATATTTTCATACACATTTCATTAAATAATATAGACAAGTGTTGTCTATTTATTTTATGTAAATTCTTTTCATAACGTCTGATAAGTTTAATAACATTATCATTAAACGAAGAAAGAAATTCACAATATTGATCCATATTTTTTAATCCAATCTAAGCTTTCGGCTTACATAAGCCATTATCAAAGATGTTAATTACAACATATTAACCAATATACGGACAAGACAGTGATGATAGTTTGTCATTGTTTACATAGATGATTTCTTAGCAACGATAAACACGTGCATATAAGACGTTAGAAGCGAAAATCGCACTGCATCTCATGACATCACACATGACCATACGAGAGTGAATTGGAGAAGTATGAAGTATGGGAAGCCGTTGGTATAAACCAATGGCTTCTGTTACCAATTATAGACATTTAAGGATATTTGTAGAGATTCCATAGTTGATTTTGTTTAGGTTGGGTTTCAACTGTTTGATGGATAATGCTTCAAGGATTTTTAGTTTTTGTCTATTGTTTTCATGTCGAAGTATAATTGTGTTTTCGACAAGTATTTTACAAAATTGTGTGTGCAGGCAGGCATGTTGTTTTAAATGTCTAAAAATGTTAGAGTTTTCATTCAAATGTAGTGTCAAGCATCGTGAAAGCGAGTTTGTGGTGTGACTAACATAAATATTATTTAATTTGTTGGAGATACACTCTCCCAAAGGGCACTTTGAATTTATAAACTATGTTGGGTTTTTGCAAATCGCTAACCAGGGGAAAAGAATCATTGTGAAGAATTAAGTTGGATATTTAGTGTAGTATATGATTAATTTAATTTTTTTGCTTGGATCTGTTGTTGATATATTAGTATTTACTAAATTTTTTAGTATATTTTCATCTTGTTTATAATTAGTATGCATTTGATTACAATATAGGAGATAAATATGTTTGAGATCAGTAGATAGAAGCAGTATTATGTGCTATTTGCTTAGTATTGAGATTTCTAAGAAAGCATCTTATGTGTTCATCAACAATATAGTTTGGAAAGCTATTATTATTAAGTGTCTGTTTTATATTCTTTAGTTCACTGTAAAAAGTCTGTTTTGTGGATGAATTAGTTTCTGCACGATGTATTAGATTCTTTATAATTGCTATTTTGTAGTAATATGGGCATTCGCTCTTGTAGTTAAGTGTACATGAATTTATGCTTGTAGGTTTTTCGTATGGTGAAATAGTAAATTTGTTATTATTTGTGTTTATCAATATGTCAATGAAGGGGATTTTATTATTAGTATTGAGTTCATATGTGAATTTAAGGACAGAATTATTTCGGAAACGTTTTTGAAGTTGAAGTATTTCATCTGTATTTTTAACTAACATAAGAATATCATCAATGTATCTTAGGTAGATGGATGTTTTTTTAAAATCTGTAAATATCTTATTTTTGAGGTTTGACATGTAGAAATTGTTAAATGTCGAACCCAGTACTGAACCCATGGAGACACCATCACGTTTTATGTATATATATATATATATATATATATATATATAATTATTTATTTAAAAATATGATTCCAAATCGCTACATAAGAGGTCTCATGTTTCAAAACAAGAGCCGAAAACTTCAATATAATCCTTTAAATTAAATTGAGTTGAAAGTAAAATGGGCTCCGTTCCATCTTCAAGCGAAATTTTTGTTGGAATAACGTATATCTGAAATTTACTTGTTTTAAAATTGAAATCAAAATCCCCATGGTAACAGCTAGGTTGAATTGTCTAAATTGGGTAGGCAAGTGTAGGGTGTTTATAATAAGTAGCGGTATAGAGATACTTTCAAGGTGTCAAGTCGGGGAAAGGTGGGGTGTCAAAATGAAACGGAAGATGTATTGGCCATCGTCTAGTTTGCTTGTCTATGGAGATTTATTTATTTATTTTATTTTATTTTATTATGAAAGGGAATTGTGCATATAAAAAGAAAAACTTTTCGTAACGTTTGTTTTTTGACGACTTCATAAAGGGTTATCTTATATGTAAGGTATTTAAACTACTAATTTAGGCTATGGATTATGAAGTGTGTTATGTTGTATGCCTTGTTTGTAGTTAATTATTCCTACTATGAATCTGATGATTGGGCTATTTGTTAAACAAGTTATATAAATTTTTTTTATCTAATAATTCAAACCAAAAATCTGATGATGCCTACAAAAAACCGTTAACTCATGTCTATTATTTAATAGATTATTATTATTTAGAAGTTTAATAATGTGCAATTTTTCATGGAGGCACAAAGGGCATGGGTCATCCCAAGCTTTACATATTCTAGCCTTGTCAATAATTTTATGTGGTCGGTCCTCGGCTGTATAAAGCAGGCGCGTTTTGCTGTTTCGGATCAGAGAGCTTTCGGCTCATGAGAAGGTTGGACGTGCGACACCGGGGTTTTTTTTGGTCACCCTCCTCACGGTTCTTTGTTCCTACCTGCTATCATCAGTTGAGTTGTTGCGTTACCTCCCACAATATAATAAATATATATGTGTGTATTTGTATATTACATATACATATATGCATGAATACATTTTTTTTAGTTCTTTAATTTTATTTTTACTGTTTATTCTTCCTTTATTCATTCTGCAGTGTTTTATAGTCTCTGCATAGTTTTCTGATGTTTCTCAGTTTGTAAGCAGGAGCTTGTTTTGTATTTATACAGTTCTTAGTCAAATTTTCTTCTAGTGAAGTTTTAAATCTGATGAGGTATCCACATAGTACTGGAAAGTAGTTCCACTCAATTCATTTCAATGTTTTTTATAGATACTACATCCTCTGGATATTTTCCAGTATGCTGCTGATGTCAGGTAAACTAACTGCAATTAGTTTGTGATTGTGGCCCTCTACACCTGTACACTCCATGTACAATATTTACTAAGGAATCACTCGAAATCCTCTGCCTTTTGCATTTTTCAGATTTTGGTCCTGCCATCATAGAACATTCTCTTTTAGAAGCTGGTTTTCCAGATAATATTAAATTAAATAAAGGGTTCAATATAAATACAGGTAAGTAATTTAAAAAAGATATTTATTCACTTATATAAAATTGTGTGTATGTATATATATATATATATATATATATATATATATATATATATATATATGAGATTTTGAACCAAAATTAAAGGCTAAAAAAGGTGGTGGTGGTGGGGTCATATACAATTTTTACTCAGTTTAACAAACCCCTTATTTGGAACAAGATTGCAAATACACTCAGCACAATAGATGATAAAACACAAAGCAGTCAGGTGTTGATAACAATTGTTTACAAAAGGTATTTGATATGTCGGCAATATTTGTTTCTCTCTTCATTCTTAATGAAAGACAGTATTCTTTTATTTTCATAATTTATTAGTATAATAGTCATATCAAACAGAAAAGTATGATAGATTAATTAACACCTTCAAATGTATTACCAGGTATGTCAAGTTAGCACCATTACCTGAAAATAAATTTTGAAATGGAAATTATGAATAGAAACACACAATGGCTAAAACTTTGGTTCCTTTTTATTCTTTAATATCATGAAATTTAGATATTCTAGTCATATATATGTACAACATTGAGATTTTAATGGATAATATGGTATAACTTTAAAAGATATTTACACTATTCAATATATTGTGGCTGTGTTTATAGTTAAATATTATTGAGTGTTGGTTTTCCTTTTTTATTATTAGTGTTTCCATTATTTTCAATCTTTGTTTACATGTGGCTGAAGCTATTATGCTTGTATTTTCTACTAGGATGATGCCAATGGAGTCTGGCAGGTTTTTGTGTGTGTATAGATGAATCCTAATAAAATAACACATTCCTATAACTTCATAAAAAACCACACATATTTAGTTGAAAATCAAAATCACTCTCGATAATGGCTAAAAGAATAACCAAAAGCACTCAAATATGCAGAACTTTTTGGACAGTAAAATAACACATGAGGACAAAAGTCTGTATATAAATAAATATATACTTTTTATAATATTCTGTCAAATTTTGACAATTTTTATTTTTTTAGATTTTGAGAAACTTATGGTTGCCCTTCAAAAGGCTTCTGAATTATTTGAAAAAATAGTTACCGGACCTAATAAGGTATGTAAACCTGCATTTATTTTATTTGTTATTGTCAGATACCAATATAATTGGTAATATTAACTAATAAGACTGTTACCAATATCATAAATTCTCACATTTTTTTTTCTTTTGTAATTAGAGTGAAAAAGTAATAATGACAATTGTTTATCTATGGATTCTAAACAGTACTTTACATTTACTTGTTTGTTGTTAAATATTGGATAACAGAAAAAATATTCTAAATGTTGTCAGCAATTTCTTGTTGGACCTTTTTTTATTGCTATTGAATGGCATAGATTTTCCTTTGAATAAACGATGCAAAAAATAAAAATAACTGCTTTTTTTTGTTGTGGGTGTGGGTAGCAATACATATGCCATGCAGACAGACATGAATAATTGTATGATACATGTGTCTCTACCTGAATACATGCACTTGAATCGCTTATACTTTGAAATTTTATTTATTAATTTTTCTTTTTTAATAGGATTAGAAAAGTTAGACTATCACTGGGTACATACTCCTTCCCTGTTTTTAAAGAAGAGTACACCCTTGTTTCCTGTTTAGGATTGGGTTTCCTGTTCCTTCTTATAAAATCTTCTTATTTTCTTTCACTCCTATTAAACCCATGCATCTTGGTGACATTATTGCCTTGATTGAGGTGAAATGATTAAAGGAAAATCCTGGACTACTGAAAATCCTTTTCTTTTTGATTTTCTATTTATTTCTATAATAATGGCAATATTAACTGTTTACTGATATGAAAACATTTGGCATTCATTGATTTTGAACAGTCAGTGTTACTTTTGGTTGAAATTTATAAAGTCTTTCTCTTAAAACAATTTATTATGAAAAAAGGTTTCTTATGTCCAGTAACTGTTATCACTCTTTCCAGTATTGATAGGAGTTTCCTTTGTTCAAAGTAGTGTGGATGCTGACATCTTGATTATATCATTATATTCCCTTTTGTGTTATATATGCTATCTATTTCAGTTGTTACTGCTATTGAAATTTCTGTAGTAAAATTATTTAGGATGTATTTATATTATATCTTAGTAGCAAGTCTGACAGATCTAACAAAGTAAAACTAGTAACTGCTCTTGAAAAGGACCTCCAATTAGTAGTTAACTTGGGCAAGGAATGGCTTGAAAATTTTAGGACCTCTAAATCAAAACTGCTTTCATTTAATCACCACAATGTTTTCTGCCTGTCATCAACATGGCTGATGCTAACCTCTGGAAGAGCAACATTTTGCACCTTCTTGGACTCACATTTTCCACTGACATAAAGTGGAGTGATTACATTGAATCAATTGCTAGGAAAGTTGGTTCACTGTGTTGTGCCAGACAATTCTTCTCATCAGAATTCTTGAACATTTATGAATCTGTCATTCGTCTATACAATGGATACTGCTACTGCATTTAGTCTGGTGCTCCTACTATATATCTCTAGATTTTTGTTGAAATTCAAAGAAGTTGTTTGTAATGTAATTGATCTTGACCTGACATCTAGACTTCAGTCACATTCCCACCAATGTGACTTGGTTTTCTTCTGACTTTTCTACAAATATTTTCATAGCGATTATTCTGATGACCTGTTCCTCTTAGTAACTTGACTGCATGAATTAAAGCATACTACTAGATTGGCAACTAGGTCTCACCATTTTACTGTTGAACTTGCTAGAAGTAACTGTATGTTAAATTCTAATAGTTTTTTTTTCTTGCACTTCTTGCCTGTGGATATCTTGTTTTCCTACCATCTATAATCTTCAAAACTTTAAATGCAACATCATTTACCATCTTCTGTCTTTCTGTATCCTGATCCTTTATTGTTATCTTCCTCACTTCTTACTAAATTCTTCTCATTCTCTTTCACTCTCTGCCTGTTCTGGGTAAGACGATAAACTATGTCTAACAGCAAGGCCTCTGATCTGGAGGTTTTGAAGAGCGTGGAACCACCTCTTAATTGCTGGTGTTCCCAGATTCACCCTGACTGGGAGTGGTAGCACCTGTTAGAGTTCCAGCTATGGGCAAATAGTTAACACTCAAACTTGTGTAAAAATAGGTTTTAATATCGGAAATACTTTGTAATAAAAAAAAAAAATTATTACCAGCAATAAATCAGCAGTAATACAAACAGCTATACATTCTTTGAAAAAAATATGACCAGCTATAGATTTCTTCAAGAAAAAATATTCTCAGAAATAGATTTTTGAAGAAAAACATATTGCAAGCAATAACAATTTTGCCGGCATTAAATAACCCATTGAGGTTGATATGCTGTAAAACAAAACAAACCAAACCAAACCAAACTTTCACTCCCTGCATCCTTGTGGCATTATTGCCTTGCTTAGGATGAAATGATAAAAAAAAAAATGCTATTTTGTTATTAACACTTTAATTCTCAACCTCTGATGATTTCATTTTTCTTGATTTATTTTTTTTTTTTTTTATGAATTTCTGTAGTAAGTTATTTGCAATGATTTTTTTTTTTTTTTACAATGAAAAGTTAAAATACTGATTATAAACTTGTATTAGTCTCCTACCAAAAATATGTATGAGTAGGATTTGTTTACTTTCTCTGGGGCTGTATAGCCTTGTATCAATGTTAATGATCACATGATTTTACACTTGGATTACTTTTCTTGTTACCCTTTTGAGAATGACTTTATTTCTGTGTAAGTATTGTCATGTACTGACATTTATCTTGAGTTGGTTCTGCAGTTAGTGTAGTCACTTGTAGAGTTTCATGGATTATTTTCACTTCAGAGGCCCTATGCTTTCTCATTGACTCTTTTATGGCTTTGAATTCAGAGTTGTCCTTTTCCTAGACTGGTTATCTTCCTAAGAGTTTTGTCTGCCCTGCTATTTTTACCCAGAGAAAATTATATACTGTAATCCTGTGTATATAAAACACAGATCTTTTTCATTCAAAACTGTATTCAAATGTTTACTACATCTTGTACATTAGTTTAGAACTCCATCCCATCTTTTCCAGGACTCAAAATGAACAAAATCTGGTTAAATTGTATTTATTTGTTTATCAAAGAGATAATATGTATCTACTCCTGTCTTGATAGTAAAGTTGATTAGTCTGACAAGTTCAAAATGACAGTAGATGTCTAAAGCAACCAAGTCCATTAACTGGGGCAAAATATGGCTTGTTAATTTTAATGTCTCCAAAACTAAACTTCTCTTCATTAACCATCTGAGAAACCCCTCTCTGCCTTCCATCATACTAATGCCTTTGTATATTATTTTTATTTCTCTCTTATGGTACCCTCTTCCAGCTTCTTGCTAGCCAGCTAACTTTGATCTTCAAAAATTTAAATGCAATATCAATTGTTATCTTCTGTCTTAATTCCTGTTCTTATATTGTTCTCTCTCCATAATAATGTTTTTTTTTCCTTGTATAGCATGTGGCAGAAATACCTCCCACATAATAGTAAGAGCTTAGTGGCAATGGTATTGTCATCTAGCTAATGTCTTACCATTATTATTTATGCTGCACCCTGTATTATCCTACACCCAGTAACCCTTTATATCTTAGTGGCTTTATTACCTTACTTGGAGTGAAATGATTACAAAAAATATAATTCCAAAATATTTTTTCAGGGTTACATTATTCAGAAAAGGGATGTGCGACCCACCACTAAAAATGAAGGTGATAAAGAACTTTTAACGTAAGATTTTTTTCTTCTTTTGCTATATTATATAAATGATATCTGAAGAGAATATTTGTCAGGGACCACCATTTATTTGTGTTTCATAGGCATTTCCAAATCTTGCTGTCTATTAAACCTGATATAAAGTATTTTTATTTTCTCATTGATCATCATGGTGTCTTTCCAGCCACATTCAACAAGGGTCTGTCCTGAAGGTCTTCAGATTTCATTCAAATTTTCACCATTTGTTAATATTCATCAGAGGAGTTAATCCTGAAAATTTTATTATTCCATGTCAAACAGATTTTATGCTACTTTAATGATTCTGAGGATATTGAAAATTTTGAAAACATTGAATTTTTTGTTTTTTAGAGACCTCTCACTGAAAGCATCTTTCATTGGTTGCCTTTGGAACTCTTTTTCCTTCATTACAACCATTATGACTCTCTCAAATTCAATTAACTAACTACATTCTCCTGTCACTTGTTGCAAAAATTCCAACTGAAATTTTAAAAAAATTTGTAAAAACCTTCTTTTACAGTTAAAAATCCTGAATTTTGGCTTGATGCCACTGGATGAAGACACATGCAAACCGCCTTATCTTCTCTCATTATGCAATGTGTATTAAAGACTTCACAGAATCCCAATAAAACAGATCCCCTCATGTTGCATTTCTGAGCAACAGGAGAGTGAAAAATGAAAATGAATCTCATTTTTTTTTGTCATTTTTCAGCCATTCTAAAACATAACTTGGTTAAAACCATGTAAAACTATACATTTTCTGAAAGACAATGTGAATAAGCGCAGAAAAACTGAAACATCTTAAACCATTGCAAGAAGACAAGCATTTTCCAATTTTTTAGGAAAATTGGAGCCCCCAAAATCAATGTGCAGCATGTGGAAAACTTTTCAACCAATATTTACTTGAACCTTTGAACTGTACAAAAATGGTTAGCAAATGATCACCACTTACTGGTTTTACAGCATGTAACTTTTCATTGTCTGTGAAGTGAACATATGTAGAATAAATACACAATATGAGCTGTGGACCAGACTATTAAACTCCATTATTTTTTTTTTTTTCAAGCAATTTCTTTCCAATTCCAAACATCATATAAGCAATGACTGAATGTGAGTAAATAGAAGTTCTGGGAAAATGGCCCTTATCAGTGTGATATTGACTTATTTTAGCATGAAACCAAAAATGATATCTCGTTAAAGCAAAATGACCTCCCATTATGACTGGTGGAAACTGGATCTTTGAAACCTGCATATCTAATTTTACTTACAAGGTTTGGGTCAACTTGTGGTTTAGTTTTGAGGCACTTTTTAAAGGTGTTGCACACTGGAATCGCCTTCCCAGGCCAATAACATCAAGAAGTCACTTTCCTGACAAATTGACCCTAGTGAGATTTGAACGCAGTTTTGATGGTTGAAAAGTGACCGTTATGCTGCTGGAAATTTCAAACCAAACTCTTTATTTAATTTAGTGGGGTAGATTGCTCTTGTTGCACTACCCATGACATTTATTTATTCTTTTTAATAATTTTGCCCCAAACATGGTGATAATGTCACTAGGGTGCAAAGTGTAACAGAGAGTGAGAGACTTTAGTAATGAGAAAGAACAATAAAGGTGCAGGGTTCAGGAAGACAAAATGGTGATTAGCATTGCATTTGAATTTTTGAAGATTGTTGGTGGCATAGAAACAAGAAATTGGAATGGAATACCACAAGTGAGAAGTGAGAGAAAAGAAACTATTAGAATAGAACTGATGGTTGCATCTAGCTAGTTCAACACTAAAACATAAAATGGTGAGACCTAGTTGCCAATCTAGTAGCACACTTAAATTCATGCAGTTGAGGCACCAAGGAGGAAAGCTCATTAGAACAATTGCCATTAAAATATGTAGAAAAGACAGAGGGAAGCCACGTCATGGTGAGAAAGTGACTGAAATCAAGATGCCATGTAAGGATTGATTACATTACAAACCCTTTTTTTGAATTTTGACAGGAATCTTGAGATAGAGCACAAAACCAGATATTGCAGCAGTATTCAATGCACAGATGAATGGTAGATTAATAAATATGTAAGATGGATTGTGATGGTAAAAATTGTCTGGTATAACATAGTGAACCATCTTTCCTAACAGTAAATGTAGTAATTGATTTGATATAATCATTCAATTTTATAAAATTGTTAGAGAAATCAGTCTTCTAAATGTTTAAGTTTACAAAGTGATAACTTGAATGTAAGTCTATAATAATAAATCTCTAAATAGAAATTAACATTTAAGCTTAATAGCCACTTTTAATAGCCTAAAAATGACTTTAAATTTAACTTAAAAGAGTTGTTTTATGTTATGTCCCTTCAGGACATAAGATGATCATAATTCTCTTGACTGATTTCTTTTCTTTTCTTTTTATTACCATAATCCTTTGTGTATAGATTGCTAGGGAGTATAAGATGCTGTTAAAAATGCAGAGAAATTCCAGGAAAAAAATTATTTTCATAAAATAAAAGGCACCTAATTTTAGAGAAAAAAATGACCAAATCTTGTGAGAAAGGTAGAGAAAAAAAAAACAAAAACAACTTTTTGTTTACTCTTGTGATTTGTAAGCATTATGAAAATGTGATAATGAGTCATGTGGGTATAAGACCATTAAATTGCCACTACACATTGAAAAAATATATAGAAATAAAAGTGAATAAATATTTACTTGTTTATTTATATGGTTGGAATTTTTTGTGACAATCTAAGGTTTTTCTTTTTAAATTATTTGTGTAGTCCTGAAAAGGACTCTGTGTGGGGAATCCAGGTCATTTTTCTGTGCTCATTGGGCATCTGATATCTGAGTGGATGGTCGTCTTCATCGAACTATTCACACTCTGGTTTTGTCCATTTTGAGTCCTAGATAAAATGGGATTGAGTTCTAAGCTGAAGTATAAGACCTTAGGACACAATTTTGGGTGAAAAAAAACCTGCATCTCATTACACACAGGATAATAATTATGACTGACTGTGACTTCTTGGGAAAGATGGTGAAATGGTTTCTGCATTTCAATTCAGAGTAGTCCTCCTCCTAGATTGGCTGCTACCCAAGGCTAATGAGTTGAATCTACCCTGTTATTTAAACCCATATCTGAGGAGAGCAGAGATGGATTTATGCCCTTCCCAAAAGCATTTGTGTGAAAGTGAGCACAACAAACTCAAGGAAATTGAACTCTGTTGCCTGATTACACTTTCAGCACCAATAATTGTTACGCTAGCCACACATGGAGTAAATAGATAAAAATAGAAACTTTGAATGAATTCATGCCTGTTATTAATTTAATCTATAAAATATCTTATTACTAAATCCTGTGACAAGATAATATTGAGTTTTAAGATGTTTTTTCTTTTACAGTTATGATGAATTCCATCCTTACCTTTTTTCTCAGTATGCAAATAAGCCTCACATTGAACTTGAAATGTTTGACAAGGTATTTATATTTTTTTATTTAATCATATACAATAATATTATTTCATATAATATTGATAACATCAATTACTTGTTCACTTTATTTGTAATTGTTAGATACTTGGATAATTATACGTGAATACCCTTATTCTGTTAGTAACATTTGTATTAGTTCAATAATCTCTTTTCCTGATTTTTAAGACATTGTAAAATAAATGTCAAAAAGTAAATTTTCATTGTTTTTTTTACTCTAGTAAAATAATTTTCATTGTTTTTTACTCTAGTAAAATAATTTTCATTGTTTTTTACTCAAGTAAAATTATTTTCATTGTTTTTTACTCTAGTAAAATAATTTTCATTGTTTTTTACTCTAGTGAGATATACTTTATTTATTTTTTTTACCCTCGTAAGATAATTTTCATTTTTTTTTTTTACTCTAGTATCTTACAATGTGCTGCTTTGTTAGAATGATTGTAGACTTGTTGCAACATTTACACACCCTGACAGAAATTACTCAAACACATATAGCTGTTTAATCAGTTTTCATTAAATTTATATCATAAAAATAGATATAAAAATTTTTTTCTTCATTATAAAGAAATGAGATTATGTATTTTGAAAATTTGTGTCTACAATTGTAAAAAACTATCTACCCTGGTATATGTATTTATACAGCTGGTATGTATTGGCTGTCCAGATTCAAAGGGTCAAGAATTTGAATTTTAAGAGCAGTAATGAACAGACCCTAATGTGTTAATCTGTTTCAGTGAACCCTTTGAACGGTAAACTGGCTACATATACTATACTCATCAGGTCAGGGTTCAAGGTGTTAAAGATTTTCATTTATTACTTTTGATTGTTTTATTCATATTTTAAGCCTATCTTACACCTCAGGTCAGAAATCCAGTAATGTGAGTCACCATAGTTTCCACACAAATCTGACAAAAACTGCACAAAAACAAAATTTTTCTCAATTAAATAAGTCAATGGTGGTTGTATTTTGAGTCAAGAGTAATCATGGAAATATTTTAAAAAAAATAACGTTTTGTTTCTCTCTTTATTTTAGGCTGTGGATGAGTTTTTCTCCAAGTTAGAAACTCAGAAGATTGATATGAAGATATTACAACAGGTAAAGAAGTCATTTCTGTATGTATTTATTATATATATATATATATATATATATATATATATATATATATAAATTTTTATATCTCAAGAACAATTTTGGGGGAAGAGTTTTTTTTTTGTGTGATGTGTTTCATCCCTTTAGGACTTCATCAGACTAAGTTGGTTTACACTGATGCACACAAATGAGAGATTTTGAGAATTTTAAATTTAAAAATTATTTTTTATTTTTTTTAAATGTGTTTACTAGTTAATTTAATTTAGGTTCTTTTCCTTTTTTTTTTACATCACTTTTGTTATTAAATATCCTAAAACCCACAAAACAGATATATAGATATATCCTTTTGCACTAATGTCCCAGCTGAAAAATGCTTAAATCTTTTTAAAAAAGTATCTAACATAAGTCTCTCCACCAATAGCTAAAACAATAAAAATCTGCTGTCTCATCACCAATTAATACTATTTCACATTTAATAATTTTTATAAAAAAAATTAGGATTATTAATGGGATTGCTCCTTAGTGGAGTGATAGCATGCATTTTCTTAGACTTTCTCAAATTTGGCCTTTTCCAAAATATTTTACCTAAATAACATACTTCTGATGTATTCATGATGTTCTATTAATATATCTCTGTGATACTGATTTAGCTTATCTTGTATGTAAACTAAACAAAGTTTGTACATACAATAGAATTTACATATGAAAAGAAAAAAAATACTTTATCTTTCCTAGATATCATGTTACACTGTGTTAACAGTAGCTTAAAACTTAGTGTCAACTGAAAATTAAATAATAAAAATGATCTCCTAAATTTCTGTTCCCATCATAACAACAAAATAAAATCTGGAATACTCATTGGATTCTCACTATTTACATTATTTGGACTATTGTCCTCATCTTTGTCGCCATATTTATTACAACTTTTTGGCTGTTGTACGCTCTGGCCTTCTTTAGGTAGTTGGAACGTCGAACTGAACCCTTTATTCCGCTCACTTGGGTAGACTGTTCTAGTTCCACGTGCCATGTTTTTAATGGATGTTATCAGTTATCTCCTGTTAATTCCCTTCTCCAAGTTCTCCACTGCCTTAACTGGGTATTGAACTCACACTGTTTGGGTCCTGTCACTGGATCTAATGAACGCCTTTATCCACTGTGCCATGACAAAGATAGGACAATAGTCCAAATAATGTAAATAGTGTACATAATACTTCATCTCAGAAATATAGACAGATCATTGGATTCTATTATACTTAAGAGCACTCAAATATTTATATAAAGGGAAAAATACATTGAAAATACTTTCAAGTTCCTTAAATACCTATTTCATATTCAATGTGAAACAAAAGGCCCATAAAATATTCTAAAATAGAAAAGTTGTCCCTTCTGACAAACCCAATGAAAAAAAAAATTTGTACCTACTAACTCAATCACAACTACAATTAAAACACTATCTTAATCAATACAAAACAAAACAATAAGGAGAATTGAAGGAGAAATTTACTCTATTACCTGTAATAATTGCTACAAGGAATATATTGAAGAAACCTCAAGGAATTTAAATAAGATTATATGAACACAAAAGGGATATTTTGCAAAACAAGACATTAATTAGTTGTTCACCGTGATGAGACTGACCACAATTTTAAAAAATGCTACTCTAAAAGAGAAAACAATTCATGAAGATGAAAGTGTTTAGAATGTGCTTTAATTGCAAAATCATCCACAGTAAATTTGCATCCAAGTTCTTACAATGTTTCAACATTCTTGTTAGACCTTCTATTATCACAATGTGGGATATTTAATAACAAAAGTAATGGAAACAAAAAGAAAAGGAATCTATATGAAATCGGTTAAATTATATACCCAAAACAAACATGAAAAAATTTAATTTTTAAATTACCAGCATTTTTCGTTCATCACACAAAAACTTTTCCCACTTTGTCATATATATATATATATATATATATATATATATATATAAAAATGAGACAAAGTGGAAAATTTATGAATGACATGTTTCGGCAAAAGCATCTATTCTTCTTGGCTTCCTCAAGTTTTAATGGAAGGAAGGCAAAACTGTATGTGAAGAAAAATACCTTGGAATCTCTGAGGATAATTAGTGACCATAAATCATTAAATGAGATACCTTACCACTGCTAATGTCCAGACTCAAGAGATTGTATGCCTGTTTGTTTTATATATGTCAGAGGCATTTGGTGGATTTTTTGAAGTGTGTGGGGATTTTTTACATTATTTATATATTTGCATACATGTGTACATATATACAAACCCACTTGGTGTGTGTGTGTGTGTGTGTGTGTGTGTGTGTATATATATATATATATATATATATATATATATATATATATATATATGTGGTGCGATGTGTAAATTGCTGCCATTTTCTACTTTTAATTTTGTGCATTGTTTGTTTTTGATTTTGTCAACTGCACAGTAGCAAAATTAGTTGGGTACTGTCTGTGAGAAAAAGAGCACCATGACACAATTCACTCTGCCAGAAATTTGGAAACAGCATGCTGCACTGCTTGGTATTCATGCTGGAAGCTTCAATATGATCATTTCAGAGTGGGTGTCAATCTGAGGACAGAACAGAGGATTTTGAAAGAGTTGGATGATATATCCAGTCAACATCATGGTGTTTGGAGTGATCACTAGTGATTGTGATGTTATGCCTCCATTCATCTTCTCATATGGTCTCAGACTAAATAGAGAGACCTACATCAAGTACCTTGAGGAGAGAGTTCTGGCCTGGGTCAAGAGGGTGGCTGTTGGAAGATCTTATGTCTAGCAACAGGACTCTGCACTATGGCAGACATGCAGAAAAACCCAGTCAGGACTATCAGACAATTTCTGCAACTGCATCACCCCTTACATCTGGCCACCTAACTCCCTAGACTGTAGCCCCCTTGATTATTGTGTGGAGTGCAGTTGAGAGAGAGACCAACAAATCTCCTTGTAACACCAAAGATGAACTGAAGGCAAGGATTTATTCTTTCTTTTTGTTGTTACCATGGTATTTTCGCAGAATAGTTTGTTTTCCCCAGGTTTAAAATTTGTATAAAAAAAAAGGATTCTTGATTTTAATCTCTGGAAATAACTGCAGAACTTTTGCCCCTCCCCTTTTATGGGTAGAAGTACACAAATGTATGCTGGGATTTTTTTTCTTCGGCAATAAAATAGGTTTGCAGTTTGACATGACTCAGTCCTGATCGGCCTTGTCTAGAAGATGGAATGCTACGTTTGCTTGTCAGCCCAATTTTTGTGTGTTGATGTGAATTCTTAGTTTGTGAACTTTTTGCCTTATTACTGTTAATTTGCCATGCATATATTGTTTGCTTGTTTGATATTTTATTTTGCCCTGTTCTTTTTATTACAAATTTTGTTAATGCTGTTTGTTGAACAGTTCAGTTATTTATTTTGCATTTGACCATGGCTATTCACTTTACAAGGATGCTGCTGGGGGATTGTGGGGATGACTCTTGTGCACCTGAGGAACAACATAGGATAGCATGGATTACTTATACTAAAAACAAAAAAAAGATAAAAAACATGAAATCAGTCACTTAAATTACTCTTGGAATTGTCACAAAATTACAAAAGGGAAAAAAAAAAAAGAAACCTCCTTCACTTTTCATACAGATTGCCTTTCTGAAGAAGTCTATAGAAGAAATCAGCTGAAATGTGGCAACAACAAAAGCAGCAAAAATCAGTGATCTGAACATCTCTGAGAATGATAGGTACTCTTAAAATTACCAAATATATTTTTGTTTGCCAATAATATTAATATCCATGGTAATTAAGGAATATTTGTTCATCATCCTTAACTAATTTTTCTTTTAATTAGGAAAAAATGGCTGTGAAGAAATTGGAAAATGTCAAGAAAGATCATGAAAAGAGAATGCAAGAATTGCAAAAAGCTCAGGTAAGTGATGCTTTAAAGAAGAATAAAAATATGTACTCACCTGTTCTCATTATCCCAGATATCATTTTTTTTGTTATCGAGCTGATAAATATTTGAAGTAAGGTTGCCATCTTTCAGCAACATCAATAAATTGATTGACCAGGTGTGGCCCAATAGGTATCCAGATACTGCTACTTGAACACACATGAAGGTCAAGGGGGTCCTATCTAATATTATTGGAGTTGGAACTGTTTTTTTTTTTTTAATTGCCAAAAGGTAGTTTTTGAAGTCTGGTGTTTAAAGTGGCTACCCACTTAAGAAGAAGGAAATAGTAAACAAATGAAAATGTGGAGTAAGGTGACACTTGGTCGGAAGTCAGGTATTTCCACCTGTTGCTTATAAGTGGAGTCTTGGTTAGAGTGGGGAGAGAAAAGAGCTGTTTGTTGAATCTGTCACATTGGTAGCAGTTGCTCAGCAGAAGTAAGGAGAAGAGGCAAAGTGAACTATGTGCCACTTACCTACTACCAAGAGACAAGACTAGATTCAAATTACAGAGAATCAGATTCATGTTTTTGCTTCTTGTTGTGACATTGTTTTCATCTTCTGATCCTTATTATCATGCAGCAACCCTTTCCCAGTCTTTGTGTACACTGATCCTAACAAGAAGTGAAACAATGTGATGTGGGGATTGATTTTTTTTTTTTTTTTAATTGATGAGTGACTGAGAGAGGGCCCCTGCTGTGTGTTTACACAGGGTCTTGTTACTGACACACCACAGAGATAGATTAGGAAAAAGAAATGATATAATTTTGAATTAAATCATCAGTAGGTTGCTGTTTTTGATTATATTTAAATAAGAATATTCTGTTTAGCGAGTTTTTTGTCTCTATGAATGATTTGTTATATGTACATCAACCCTCCTTTTTTTAAACTTATGGCCACATGATGTTGAAACACTAATTCCTGTATAATCACTGAAGTTGCACAATGTCGAGCCTGGTAAGTACCTAAATGGGTGACCACTTGGGAATACCAAATTCTGCAAATTGGATGTGTGGGTGGTGTAATGGATAATGGCTTGGAATTCTTAATTGGAGAGCCGAGTTCCAATTCCAGTTGGGTTCGTTATATTCACTGAACTCTGGAAAAAAAAAAACCTCTGAATTCCCATCCACAAAACCTTTCAAAAGGAAGATGAATCACAATGACAAAAAATATCAACTTTTAGGATAGCTTCTTGATGGAAAGCCTGAGACTGCAGTGCCCTGTCTTATGACAATTCTGCTTTCCTTTGACACTACGGATTTTTTTTTTGTCACTTTACAGAAATTCGAAAGCTGACTGAGGTAGAAAGTCACATTGCTTTTAATTGGAAAGGGTTGATAAGAAGACTGAATTCATTGTGAAATAATAAATTTCTACATTACAAGTATTTAACTTTTGTTACCTGGCACTCAGATGTTTCAACCAATGCTACTTGAACTCTTCTTCAGTTGTTAAAACTACACAATTTGGGTGGAAGTGGCTGATTGGTTGGTTTTAGGATGCCATATTATTCAACTGAGAGAAATTATTGTTTTGGAATGTTCTTCTTTACAACAATTACAGATTTTCATTTTGTAATCTCTAATTCATTTTAATTCATAATTAATTTTTTTCTTGTCTTTTTTCAGGAATCTGACACAGTGAAAGGACAATTCATTGAGTATAATTTAACCTTGGTGAGGATTTTTAAAAATTAATTTTGTCTCTGTGGGTAATTCATGTTGGTATCAGCATAAAATGTGGCTTATGTAATTTAAATAATATAAAAAAAAAAAAAACGGAGCAAAATCTTTTAAAGAAAGTTTTTAAATTTTTTTTATTGAAAGCAGATTGAATCTCTTGAGATAAAATGAAATTGAAACCAACAGATTAACATTTTAAGACTTGTTCAGACAGTGGATCTCATATTTTTTGTTTGCTTTTGTTGTTAATATTGGACCAATTCATTTTACTGGCTTTCCTATCGGCTTAAAATCCAAATGGAAAAATGTGGAGAAGGGGAGATCTCTCCATTTCATTTCTTTCTCAGAAGTATCCTCTAATAATCTTAAGGATGCACCCCCTCCCCCCCAAAAACCCAAAATGGTGACAATAAAGTATCTCCAGATAGATATATGAAACAGAATATGTATCTATATATTTTTGTGTATAATAATTTTCACAGATACTACACTCTGATCCTAAGTGGAATTGCTTGATCCACAATCTGAGCAATAACTGAACATTTGATTAAAAACTAGATATGTTCATGGTGGTGAATAAAGCTAATACTGATTATCACTTGAAAGTTTTGGAATCAATGTATGTTAAGTCCTACCAGCCATCTCTCTGTAAGCAGGAGTGGTGGTTGGTGGGCTTAAAGTTAATTAGCTTTTAATTTTATATTTTTTTGCTTATAACATTAGTCTGGTGTTGTGTATATATATATATATTTTTTTTTTTTTTTTTTTTTTTTTTAGTCTCTGTACACATTTTCTTTTGGCCTTGATTTTTGCTCTGATGAGAGAGAACCAATAAACTGGTTTAACTATTTTTAATTGCTATATATTTCAGCATTATCATTTTATGGTAATATATATTTTTTGTTACCCCTTTTTTTTGTTAAGAATTGTTTTTAATAGGTTTGCTGTTATTGCTCTAATCAAACCTCAAGCCATGCTTCCTACCATTTTTGATGGGTACTATATTTTGTATACATTTTTGTATAAAAGTAATGTGTTGATGTAATTTCAGTACTATGAAAAATACATTGAATATTTTGAGAACCGGTTGAATCTCTTGAAATAAAGAGAACTTCAAGAGTTAAAACCAAAATGTTAACATTCCAAGATTTCTTCAGATTCTTGATCTCATTCTCTTGAGTTTGTTATTATTATAGCTTTTGTCATGATAACAGCCACCAAAAAAAAAAAAAAAAATTCAGAGGTGATAAAAGATCCAAGTAACTGTTAGAATTATGATGACTTTTCTAAATTATTAAATTACAGAATCAAATCATCCTCATTCCCTTTGAATTCCATTGGTAAGGAGGAAATTCCACTTGGACAGCTTCTTTCTAAGAGCCACTGCTTTGTGAAACAGAATTCCAAAAGAATGTTTCACAGCAATCTTAACCCCTTCAAGTCTTGGGCTAACCATTATCTATCCTACATATCATCATAATCCACACTTCTTATCTCCTCCTCTTTATGTCCATAAAATAACCTCATTTAGTGTCCCTCTACCTTGAATGGCTCTTAGGTCTTGTATTAGATGAACAATAGTGTAAAAGAATAAATAAATGTAGAGTGATTGACCTTTATGGTTCTTACTTATGGTCAATATTTGCAGGTCGATCAAGCGCTAACAGTTGTTCGCAGTGCTGTGGCCAATCAGATCAACTGGTCGGAAATCAATGAATTAGTCAAACAGGCACAAGCCCATGGTGACCCTGTGGCTTTGGCCATTAAAGCTCTCAAACTTAACACCAATCACATTACAATGCTTCTCAGGTGAGTAAAATTATTCATTGATTGATTTTTTTTATTTTTATTTTTTTTAATCATTTCCATATATTTTAAATCTTCCATTGTCAAAGCATTATTACCATGGTGTTTTCAAACACCTCATTCAAAGTATTATAGATATATCATTTAGTTTATAATTTTTTGTTATATATTGTCTTGGGTGTTCTTTCTGAATTTTATGGGATAAATAAAAATGAAACAAAAGAAAACAAAGGATTTTATTTTGAAAATTAAAAAGCCAATATTAAAAAATGGATTTGTAAATTTCAAAAATTCAGATATGCACAAATCTAGTTTCACATGTCATGCCTCTTCCAGGTGTCTCAGTCATCTCCCTTTAGCTTAGCAATCCAAGTTTTTGTTCACCTCAGTGGCTACAGCTGAGGTAAACAAAAACAGAAGAAGCATGGCATGTGAAACTAGAACAATCTTTGGTGGTTGAAATAAAGGGTTTAGTTTGAAATTCCAATCATGCAAAATCTGTTACATTTTATTTTCAGTATGAGTTTTTAAAACAATTTATGATCACTCTGACTTCTCTTCAACTGTTTTTTCATATTCCAAGCAATAAACAAGAATGTTACTTTGATCTTTGCATGTATTTCTACTACAATTATGACAGATTGTCTTTTACTTTATGCTTGTAATTCATACAACTATTTTTGACTTATCTCTTGTTAAATATTAAGGAAAATCATTTTGTGGAGTGTTCAAGTGACCTAAGATTTTTTAATTTTCTTTTTTTAATTATTTCATGCAAGGCAATAAAGCCACTAAGATGCAAAGAGTTACCGAGTGTGAGAGAATATAAGAAAAAGAAAACATTGTTAAAGAGAGAGAACAATAAAAGAGCATGGATTAAGACAGAAGATAACAATTGACATTGCATTTAAATTTTTGAAGATCAAAGTTGACTGGAAAGCAAGAAGTGCAAGTGAAAAAACTGTTAGCATAAGACTTACAGTTACATCTAGCAATTTCAACTGTAAAATGATGAAACCATGCCACCAATCTAATACTGCACTTAAATCCATAAATTCTTGGCACCAAAGAAGAAAGATTATCAAAACAATTACCATGAAAATATTTCTAGAAAAGGTACAGGGAAGTGACATTATGATTTTGGGAAAATGATCAAAGCCAAAGTGCACAGGGAAGCTATGTTACAGTGATAAGAACTAACAGATCTTTAAAGATGTGCCTTCTAATATAGTGGTTAACATTTCATTTATTAAAAACTCATTTCAGCTGGGTAACTTGCCATAAAGATGTTTGCTCAGAGACACTTATTACTGTGATGTGTTTGATGTTCATTGTGTGCTGTACTTAGCTATTGTAGTTATGATGTGTAACTTTTGTCAGTATGGAAAATGAAATTGATGAAAATTCAAATTCCAACTAAAGTTGTTTATGTTCACTTTCTGCTAATGCTCTCTAAGAAGGCATGAATCGATTTTCCCTTTGCTTTATTCTATCACCAGGCATCTTAAAAAAAAAATCATCATAATGGTTGACAAAAGAGCACTTGATCAACCCCCTCTCCCACTTTTAATTATTTATCCAAGCAGTAGCAGCCAAGCTATGAAACCTTTTGTCAACCTTGACATTGTCCAGCCAATTTCTATCTATAATCTATAATCTTATGGCCACATCATGTTGAGACATTGATTCCTCTATGTTCACCGAAGTTAAGCAACATCAAGCCTGGATGGGTAACCACTTGGGAATTACCAGGTGCTGTAAGTTTGGATGTGTGGTTGGTGTAATGGATAATGGCCTGGGATTGTGAATTGGAGAGCCAAGTTCCAATTCTAGCCAGGTTCGTTATATTTACAAATAACCTTGGGAAAGTTATGAATCCACCTCTTCTCTCCTTAACTATGGGTTAATTAGTAAGACTTGTATCACTAAATCATTATCTAAAAAAAAAAAAATCTTACAGTCTAAAATTATTTTCTGGCTTTAAATAATCTGCAAAGGGTTGATAAGCTGTAGAAAACAAACCAATCAATTAGTCAATCTATTTATAATTGGTGTAAGTGGAATGTGCAGTTATGACTGACTTGACCATTTGGTTAGATTTGGAAAGGTGTTGAGAGAGAACTTTTCAGTACCCCCTCCATATACAGAGAAAGGGAGACTTTCACATGTAAAATTTATTTATTGGTGACCGTACTTATATTTTATTAATATTTTTGTAGGTGTACATAATTTTATTTGATTAGATGTGGTAATGAAATATATATTACTGTTTGTTGTAAACTAGGGAAGGTTACTGAATAGAATAATCACACAAATGTTGGTAATGAACGATAATACTTAGGACAAGAACAACATGTATAAGATTCACCAGCAGTGGATAAAAGTAGTAGTCAACTGTTAGAAGTGAGTCAAATGAATTCCACAATGAATCTCCAACTGCAGACCACAGACCAACACATAAAATATTCATTACTGTATTTATGGGAATGGGGGCATACCATTATCATCCATAGGTATGCTACAACTCTGTTAAACAGTAATACCAAAATATAATATGGAATAAAAACTGGTTTGCTGTATTTAAATGCTATATTTTGCTATAACTATTTTACAGTAATATATTTTTGTTACTGGCCTTTTGTGTTATGAATTTCTTCTTTTTTCTGATGAAATGTTTTTTAATATGTCTGTTTTTAATACATTAGTTATATTTAATTCAATTATTGTGTAAATTCTCCAATTGATTATATGTTTAATTCTCTGTTGTCAAAATAAGGAATATCAATTTTGATTCATATAAGCCTGAATGACAGAAATTTTATATTTGTAATCTTTAAAAAAAATTGTTCTGTTGTAAACAGATTCTTTATCTGAAGGAATTTAATTTTAGTTTCCAATAAAGAACAGGAATTTTTACCCTTCAAATTTCTTTCAAAATTTTTCTTTGTTTCTGTATTTCAGTGACCCATATATTGATAGTGATGAAGAGGAGGAAGAAGATCATCCCAAAAGTATTTTGGTGGATATTGATCTTGGACTTAGTGCCTATGCGAACTCAAAAAAGTGAGTTTTCATTCTTTTCAGTTTTCGTTTTAGACTGCTTTCAATTTAATTGATATGTTTTTTTTTTTTTTTTTTTACTATTTATCAGCTCTTCGTTGGTTATTTTAAGCCAAAACATATGAATTGTAGGAATATTTCTCTTTTAGGGGTCGAATAAATGGATGGCAGAAGGGTGTTTAGGAGAAATAACAAAAAGACAAAATTTATTAAGAGCTTCGAAAGACAGGAAATTGTGGAGAGCTATGATTTAAAATGTATTGTGAATATTTATTCAATGCCCATGATCCTATTCTGACTTTTATATATATTAAAAAAATATCTAGTTCAATATTTGAAAAATGAATTATACGTTTTTTATGTATTATATGTTGCTTTTTTCTAATAAAAAATCTTGTTTATTTTCAGGTATTTTGATAAGAAAAAACAAGCAGCAAAAAAAGAACAGAAAACAATTGACGCTTCAGCAAAGGTAATTGGATTTGTTTTTGTCCCCAGCTTTGTGACTTTATCTGTCATGTGGGAAAAATAGCTTTCACAATCTTTCTACTCTGGATTTTACAAGCATGAGTTACCTTGTTTCATGGTCTTGCCGTCAAGACTACAGTCACAAGTTGTTTTTGTCAATTTTAATGCAAATAACTAATTCCTAGCGTCTAAGGCAGGAATGAAAAATCAAATTAAAAAGACTTCTTATGGGAAATATTTATTGAAACTATAACATATAATTTTTTTTTTATTGCCTCAATATTGGCTATTATAAAGTTGGCATTTGAAGTTGTATTTTGTAATTGACCTCTGCTAGTCAATGCGTTAAGCAATATTTATCAGCCTCAAGTTTAACATTGTAAGATTTCATGTGGAAAAGCCTGCAATGCTGATATAGATAATTTAGATTTTACAAGTAGACCAAAAATAACTTGTGGTCATCTGCTTTATAGAAAGTAAAATCCTTTATTTTGAACTGAACTTTGCAAGAAGAGGATGAAAATTAAAATTTTGAGAATTGAACCTAGAAAGCAGAACTCTAGTTATGTTTACATAAGGTTTGTTAGTTAGCAGACTGAAATCAGAAGATAATGCTTGATGGATTTATCTATTTGACAAATTGTTTGATTCAGGAAAGCGTAATCTATTTATGAATATATAGATCCTTTATTTGATAATGCGTTTACTCCATCTGTTGGTCTGAGAGAGAGGGAGAGGAAAACAAAGAATTTGGAAAAGAGTTTTTACTATAAGAGAATCATGTTACTAGATAAATCAAGAGGCTTCATTGTGCATGCATAATAATTATTTTTTGTTTTATTTTTCACTCTAAGAATAAGAATGTATTTTGTGGAAACTGCTGATGGGAGGATATTGTTACCAGTGTGTCATTTAATATAGGAAATATTGTCTACCTAACAAATTTTTTTTATTCATTTCACCCCAAGCAAGGCAATAAAGCCACTAAGACACAAGGGGTTACTGAGTGAAAGAGAATGAGGAAACAAAAACATTATTAAGGACAGAGGACAATTAAAAACAACAATGGGGATTAAGAAGACATTTTATTTAAATTTTTAAAGATCAAAGTTGACTGGAAAGCAAGAACCTAAAAGAGAATTTCACAAGCAAGAAGTGTGAGAAGAAACTGTTAGCATAGAACTTAGTTACATCTAGCCATTTCAACTGTAAAATGACGAGACCTTGCTGCTAGTCTAGGTACCAAAGAAGAAAGATATTTATAGAAAATAGATAAATAAAAATATATATTTTTATTTAATATTTCTATAATGTTTATAGAAAATAAATAAAGGGAGTGGGAAGGGTGGTAAAAAGACAAACCTTACTAAGAGCTACAAAGGATAGGAAGACATAGAGAGCCATGTCTTGAAGGAACATGGCACATAGAAAGAAGAATGCTTACATTAGAAAATTTTAATTATAGGTTATCTGATGATGTAACAAGCATAGCCCCCTTCTTGATAGTAATAATGAGGCATTTTCACTCTCAATGATATAATCTAGGGAGAAGATGGGAATATTACAAAAATTAGCAATCCCTTTTCCTTGTACAGTAATTGTCCATAGTTAAGTGTAATTGGCAAAAATGCGCTACAAATGGATTGACAAAGTTTAATAAACAATAAGAAAAGAAAAAGAACAGGGTAAAATAATAGTAAGCAAACAATGGACAAAAATATGCAAAAGGGATACAGTCAAGTGACTGTAATGTTCTGACTTCAAGACAAGAAAGAACAAAAATATGGCAGATGAGATGAAGAAGTGTTCCATTTTATTGGTTGGGAGGAAATCCCAGCATGCATGTGTACGATTTGTCTATAAATTTGGAAGAAATTAAAGAAACATTGTGCATATCTTTCTGAGAAATGTCAATATTTTTGCAAGTTCTGACTTTTTTTTTTAACTACGGCAATAAAATGAATAGGAATTCAAGACAATTTAAAAAGGCAGTGAAAGCAATGAGTGTCCTGGAGAGACTGAAGATATATTTAAATATTTTATATCATATCATATGCAGCTATGATGGTTAAGTGGTTTTTCTTGAGAGACATTTCTACAGAGTTCAATTCTGACTGAATACTTCTGTATTTTGACCTTGTGCCAGACTAAACTTAGTGAATACTTACAAAGAGGCAATGTAAATATATTCTGTTAAATAATCAATTCTAAAATTTTCTTTATAACACATCAAGTGTATGTTACATGATGTGATTTTTTTTTTTGCATAGTGTTGCTCAAGTTCTCTCCCCTGCATCATAAAACTGTTATGGAGTTGGTATTGATGACAGAAATTAAATGCATAAAATGTACAACAATAACAGAAATAAAAATTTGAGATCAATATTGACATAAGTAACAAGGATTTGTATTTTCTTTTTGTAATGTGAATTACAGAATATTGGTATGGTGTGTGTAAAAATGTTCTTGGTGTCTCTCTTATTTAAGTCAGTACTTGCTTGGTTTGGTTCTGAGGATTTTGTTTGTGAGGATGGCATTTGAAATTGTCTGTTTTTGATCTTCATAGAGCACTTCTTAGACATGTGTTTCTGTACTGCTACTGCTACTTGTCTAATCATCACTGAGTACTGCTACAGGTACCCTAGTTTACTCTACTGTTCTCTACTTTACTCTACTGACTCTTGTGGAAGGGTTGTTTTTATAATGATGAAGGTTAGGATGATGAAATATCCTTCTTTTCTGTCATCACCAATGACTAGGTTATTTTTAGAATGATGAAATGTCATTGTGGATCGTAACGAATCTGTTGTCTGTTTCTATTGGAACTGTATCATTTTTATTTCGCTTTTTCTTAAAAGTGGGAATTTTGTTACAGCCCCCCCCCCACCACACTGTTTTTTTTCTTTATTTCTAATGTGACACAAATGTAAAGGCGCATAAGAATAAGATGTGTTTCGGTAATTAAGTACAATATTAAGAAGTAGGAAAATGTCATTATGGAAAAATACTCTACTGCTTTGTAATATCTAAACTATTATATGACAGTGAATGTTGGACAATCTCCTCTTGGATAAAAAAGAGACTTGAAGTGACAGAAATGTTTCTACTGATGAATGCTGGGAATATATGAATGGAATGGGAGTACTGAAGTTTTAAAGAGAACAGAAACAACAAAGAAACTGAATTGAACAATTAGAAAGAAGCAGGTAAAATTTCAGGGATACATAATGAAGTAAGAGTGCTTGAAGAATTTAACACTCACAAAATACATTTAGGGTAACTGAGGGAGGGGGAAGATAGCAAGTAACCAATTTAATGGTTTCGAGAGACTGGATGGAAGAACAGTGACAAGCAAGGATGGTAAAGGGAAAACATTTACTTAGAGCAACAAAAGACAAGAAGTTGTGAAGGGCTATGAGTGTTTATGCCCTGAAAAGATATGGTATATATAAAAAAATAATATATGGTCAATGTCAATATGTGATGTCATACTGCTAAAATCTATCTTCAGTCACTCTGCTTTCACTGTCTTTTTAACTTTATCTTAAATTGTCTTGAATCCTTATACAGTTTATTGCCAGAGTCAAGAGTTGGAACTTGCAAAAATATTGAAGATTCTCAGAAATATATGCATAATGCTTCTTTAAAGGGACCACATCTTAAAATGCCAAGATGCTGTTTACAAGGTGCAATCTAAATTAGATTTATCTGTGATAAGCATAAATCCTGAAATCTTGTGAAAAATGTAGAATTGTTGAAGCAAAGTTCCTGCACACATTTTTATTAACAATGATATACAACGTGTGGGAACTTTGTTTCCAAACCAAAGCAGAAAAATTAAATTGCTCTATTTTCGATCCAGCATAAATTATTTATGACTGTATAGGGCACTCAGTGTGGATCAATTTCTCTTCTTGGTAATCATGGTCAATCAGGATAGCATTGTTAAACATTACCTCACACTGAACTATTTGAGTTATTATTTACTAAGCTTAGCTTAGTTTAGAAGAAGCACCCACAGTTAAGCACCCGGTGAGGACTGAACTCACTATAGTGTTACTCAAACTGGTTTTCTAACTATTACATCATACCTTGGTGCTCTAGTTATTTACAAAACTTAGCTTAGTTTGAAACAAAATCTTACAACTTGTAATAGTCAGTCAAATAGTCACTAATTGACTAATTTGCTTATTGTTGTAGCATGTGTCAACTATTTCACTGCTGCTAAATATCATGCTATGAAGGTGTTGAGCCCATGACAGACACCTTGTCCCACCAGCTTTCAGAGTATTGGCTGAGTGTAGGGACATCCTCCAGCACCTGATTAATTGTCTGAAAGTCCTGGCGGATGATCTCCTTCCATTGGCTGCATGGTCTGCTGTGAAATTGTCACCAATTTGAAGATGATAGGTCGACCTGGTAGATAACTGGTAGGGTGGTCATCAGGTCATTGTAGGACATGACCAAAATTGCGAATATGGAGCTAGGCTATGGTGTGAAGGATGTTCAGTTGACTGGTCCTCATTGTACACTATCAGATCAGACTAGTGCACCTCATAGATGGTCCTGAGGGCATAGGATTCAAAGCCATGGATGCAGGAGGTGAGGGCCTCAGTATCGTATATTAGCACAGTGGTGTTATAAACTCATAGCTTGGTGCATTGAGAAATATTGCAATGCCACTACAGAGGTCTCCAGAGGTCCCTCATGTCACCAGCAGCCAGACTGTCTTCTGTTGATCTCCATGAGGAGGTCACAGTGTTGTAAACTTCTGAGCTCAAGTATACAAGAGATGTCATGAACTTGAACTATTTCACCATAACCTTAAAAAAATAAAACAATGATTACTACTTTATGCTTTCTTTGGTTATCTTCCTATTGTTTTGTGGTTAGTAAGTCTTACAAACTGTTAATACCAAACTGAGTAATGCTGTATGCTCCATATTAGTGTCAGATTTGGCTCGGCTTAATGATTATTACAATGGACACCTCACTATAGTGTTGTGTTCTGCATTGTCTCTCTATCCCAACACTACTGCATAGATGGTATTAATGAAAAGATGATTTCTTTTACTTGCTTGTTTTTATTAGAAGAGAAGGACAGATGTAGCAGCTTGGATTCTAAGAGGCAATGAGAGGAAGGGCTTCAAGAGAATGCATGTCACTCATTGGCTTAGCATGTGGTTTTAGCCTGTCTCTTGAACCTGAGTGTGGGAACTGTATCGATATTTCAAAATTCTTGCTGCCTCCTGTTGAATTTGCGCTGTTTTGGAGTTATATCCCAAACCAAGGCATCACAGTCAGAATACCACAGCCACAAGGTATTCTGAAAAATTGCTGACTATCCTAGCCCTTCTCTTTGCATTCTGTAACATTATATTAGTAGTTAGCAAACTTGTCTTATAAATAATTACTGTATGTGTTGTATTTTTTTTTTTTTTTGCATTAAAGTTGCTATTTTATTTTCCCTGAAATAAGTTTTTAAAATTTGCTTAGTATTCTATAGGCTGGGGCTTATATATTATTTTACAAGTCAAAATTAGGGTGAATACTTGGCACAGAAATATTTCAGTTGTTCTAAAATAACTACCTTGTCTCTCTGGTGTTGAAAGTATAATCTAGAAATAAATCTTGTCAGTTGTTGAACCTAAATTTCTCATAGTTCTCTTAATATTTGTTTTTGAAATTAGATTGTGGACATCATTGATTCTCTTTTGGCCTATATTGTGTCTTAAAGCCAATGACTAGCCAACATATGATAGTGATGGCATACTGTAGAGTAATTGACTGTGGTTAAAAGTAATTGGCAGAAATACCCAACAAACAGAATTGACAAAGTTTGCAATAAACAATAAGAAAAGAAAGAAAAAGAACAGGACAAAAATAATACTAAGCAAACAATATATGCAAGACAATATAAGGCAAAACAACAGTAATAAGGCAAAAAGTTCACAAATTAAGAATTGTATTAAATACAAAAGAGATGTAGACAAGTGATTGCAGCGTTCTGACTTCAAGACATGAAAGAACAGAATTAATTTGGACAAGACCAAGAAGTGGCCTATTTTATTAGCTAGGAAGAAATCCCAGCATGCATATGTATGTTTTGTCTATAAATTTGGGGAGGAGAATGTTTTTGCAGTTATTTCTATCCTAGATTGAGACCAAAACATACAAATATTGGAGTTTAGAATTTCTGAATTTTTTGTTTCTAGGCTTTGAAATCAGCTGAAAGAAAAACGAAAGAGACATTGAAGAATGTTGCAACGGCAGCAACCATAAACAAAACCAGAAAAACCTACTGGTAAGTTTTCATTTCTGCACTGTTTAATGTCCTGATCTCAACCTCCTTTATTTTTATTTTTTTAATCATGTCACACCAAGCAAGGCTATTCATGGTTACAACCGAATCTCCATTAATCTTGTTTTGACTTATGCACTTTGCCTTATGCAAGTTCCTGGTTGTATGTCATATTAGATTGTTGTGCATTTGCTCTCTTTCATTTGTGTTGTATTTGTGGAAACTTATGGCTCCTAAGTGTAGTCTAAACACTTCTGATGGCAGTGCTTTCAAGGAAAGGAAAACCATCAACATAGAAGTGAAATTAGACATTGTTAAATGCTCTGAAAATGGGGAAACTACAAACATTGGCCAGTTACTTAGTGAAGGGTTAAATCCTGTTTTGTGACTTAATGATCCTTTGAGGACATTTCAGTATTTTTAAGAGACTCTTGCTTTTTTATAACTATTTGGAAATAGTCATGGGTTGAAAAGTGCAAGTATATATAAATATATTGTAAATGATTTTACTGTAGACATGCATAGGAAATAAGAAAGTATCTGTGGTTACAAATGAAAGAAAGTGTTACTAACAGAATAGGCTGTTATATGTCTAATGTTATTGTATTGCTAATTATTTTGGTATAAAAATACATTGAAAAACAAGAAAGGAATTTTAAATTGGCAAGAATTAAAGCATATCTGACAAATTCAAGCACAATGTATCTAATGAATTGCACATTTTCTCTTTTTTATACTTCTATTTTTGCATTTTTGATTTATTTCAAGTTAAATTTTTTTTTTCTCATCAGGTTTGAGAAATTCTTGTGGTTTATCAGTTCGGAAAATTACGTGGTGGTTGGGGGACGAGATCAGCAGCAGAATGAAATGGTGGTTAAACGTTATATGAGGCCAGGTGAGGGATAGATTTTCTATTTATTTTCTCTTAATTAAAAGTAGATCACTGAAATTAAGCAACATTGATCCTGCTCTGTACCTAGATGGGTAACCACTTGTGAATACCAGGTGCTGTAAGCTTGGATGTATGGGTGGTATAATAGATAATGGCTCAGAATTGTTAATTGGAGAGCAGTGTTCCAACACCCATTGGGTTCCTTATATTCACTTATGTACATATGCCCTTGGGAAAGGTATGAATCCACTGCTTCTCCCCCCAGCTATGGGTTAATTATTAAGACTTACATCACTAAATCATTGTTATCTCAAAAAAAATTCTTGAAATTTAAAATATATTTTCTGACTTTAAATAACCTGTTTAAGGGTTGATAAACTGGATAAAAAAACAAATCATTCAATCTAATCTTAAGAGGTTTCTTGCTTCTCTCATTCTTTTTCCTCTCCATTCAAGACTATTTGATTTTGAAGATGGTTTTTTATTTTTGTAATCATACTTTGTTGGCTTGGATCAGATAAAAAACAGAAGTCAGTTCAGGAAAATTGGCACTACTTAAGTAAACTGGTCCACTCATAAAAAAAAATAGGAAAATAATTTTCTGGAAGTAATTTTTTTAGATTAGCATTCTTTAAACCTTCATCAAGGCACACCATTTTTTTTTTAATCATTTCCCTCCACTCCAAGCAATAAAGCCATTAATATGCAAGTGCTTAAGAAATGTGAAAGAATATGAGAAAAAGTAAAACTTTGTTAAGGAGAAGGAACAATAAATGAACAGGAATTAAGAAGACCAAAAATAAGAATTGACATTGAATTTAAATTTTTGAAGATCAAAGTTGACTTGAAAGCAAGAAGCAGGATGAAAGTTCCACAAGCAAAAAATGTGCAAGAAGACACTGTTAGCATAGAACTTATGGTTATATATAACCATTTCAAATGATGTGATCTAGCTGCCAATCTAGTACAGAGCTTATATTTGTAAAGTTGATATCCTAAAGCGGAATGCTCATCAGAACAAAAGCAATGAAAGTATTTATAGAAAAGGAACAGGGAAGCTACTCTACAGGCAGTGTAAAAATAACTGAAGCTTAGATGCTAGCTCAAGACCAATAATATTGCAGATTCTTCCTTGTATTTTATCTAGAATCTCAAAATATATAGCAAAAGCACCAGACTAGGTATGGAAGCAATATTCAATGCATGAATGAATGGTAGACTTATAAAGTGTAACATAGATTTTGTGAGAAAATTTCTCTAGCCTGACATAGTGAACCAACTTCCCTTGACAGGAGTAAATAGTTGTCATTAGCATAAATGCTGATTTGAGAATTGATAATATTAGGAATATTGTTGATGAAAATTAAGAACAACTTAGGTTCAAGGATAGAGACCTGGGGAACACTGGCATTAATGCAAAAAAGATCTTGAAGAGTGGCCATTATTGTCAAAATTGAAAAAATATTGATTTTTCATTGATTTAGAAGGGGGTTAATGATATTGATACAAAGTGTTATGTCTTCATTGCATTGAATGAAAATAACACAATCAAGAAATAGAATGTTACTTAGAGTTGATGTAGTCTTGCTGAAATAAGTAGTAAACAGATAAGCTAGATCTCTCACTTGATTTGTTTACTCCTTCTGTTGATGATTCTCAGTGTCCATATATATATTTGGGTGAGTACAAGTTCTCTTCTGGGGGGAGGTGTGTTTATCTCCACAACATAGTAAAATCTGTGTTTATCTGAACTTTATTGATACTTGAATTTTTTTTTTTTTTTAAAGCAAAGACTTCTTTTAAATAAAGAACAGACATTTTCAATTAATTAACAAAAATTTACATAAATTAATAAAAGTATATATATGTTTGTATATCTTACTTATTATAAAACACAGATTGTGTGTGTGTGTGTGTGTGTGTGTGTACGTTTATATATTGGATCGAATTTCCTACATTTTTCAACGGATTTTAACAAAACTTCACAGGACTACGTAAAATTACCTTGCGGTGGTTCTGACAGTGCCAAAAATTGGAAAAACAATTGTTTTTGCACAAAATCAATTTGAAAACACAATAAAACACGATTCTGTTGCCAGAATGAAAGGGGGACAACTCATATCGAGTTATACTTATTATAAAACCCAGGTTGTTTGTGTGTGTGTGTGTGTGTGCTTGTTTATATATGGGATTGGATTTCCTACATTTTTCAACTGATTTCAACAAAACTTCACTTTTTTTATGGCAGGTAGTGTTTCTTATTGTCTTGCACACTTTTTTCTTTATTTTTACATTCAGAATGCTTTAAAAATTCCATTTACAAGACTATAGTTTATAATAAAATTCTATTCAATCGATATACTCATAACAATTGAAAACAATGTTTTTGTTTGAGTTTGGGTTTGACCAATTCGTAAAAAAAAAAAAAAAACTAATTAAGACATGCGTGTCCATCAACCTTAAACAATAATCTTTGTCAATTTTATTTTTCAGTCTTTATAATGGTTGATACTTGATCTATCTCTTACTGTTACATCCCCGGGCAACACCAGGCTCTACTGCTAGTACTTAATAAAATAATTATTAACCTTAATGTTTGTGTATGTTCTTTGGACACCCCCCCCGATTTTAAAAAAAAGTTTAAAAATTCAGAAAATTAAAAAAAAATATCGATAAAGTAAGCATAGTTTAAAACTTGACATTTGTAAATAAGGTCATTTGTTTAAAAGGTCAAGGATCAATGTTACTCTGTATTGATAGTATCAAAAGGACTCCTACTTTTCCTTATTTTTTATCAGTGGACCAGTTTCTTCAAGTAATGCTGGATATTTCAACAATTATCAGATTTGTTGTTTTTATTTGTGTTCATTAACTTAATTTTTAAATTGTTGTTTTTAGAATACAGAGGAAAAAAAACTATTTTCTAAAATGGTAAGGAAAAATACATCTGCTGGCATATAAAGCCTGCCTCAATTTAATGCCGTGTCCTTTCAAGATGTGAGTGATCATGGCTTTCCACAACTTCCTACCTTTTGTAGCTCTTAGTAAGATTTGACTTTTTACTATACCACCCATACCCTGTTCTACCAACATCCATTTACACAAGCTTGTCAAGTAGGTTACTTGCTGTTTCCACTTGGCCTTAAATATATCCTGTGAGTGTGAAATTCTCCAATTCTACTTTCCTCATTAAGTGTCCTTGAAATTTCAACAGTCTCTTTCTGATTCTAAGTATAAGCATCCTTTTTGTTTACATTTTCCATGAAACTTTCTCATTTTTTATTTTTTTTATTTTTCTAATTTACTTTATTTTTCTCATGTTCAGTCTATGGTACTCTCAGCATTCTTTCATAGAACCATGTGTAATGTGTGATCAAAGATGAGCTTTTTTTTTTTCTTTTTAAACATTTAAGTCAAAACTCACTTATTTTACTGATTTAAAAATATGACATTTCCAAATCTGTCTGTAGAGGGAAGAAAGAAAATGAAAAGAATCAATGTTATATTTTAGTCTCATCTGAATTTGAACCTGATGTATGTAGGCAAGATCTTTTGGGGTTTCTTATCACTGGTCAATGATATCACCAAATCCCAGTTTTGCTCTAGTAAATTTTAAGAAGCTCAATATTCCTAATGCTTGGTTAAGAAACAAAAAAAACACACAATTAAATTATTAAATTTTGTAATTTTTTACCTTAAATTTATTATTAGAAGTTTTTGTATTCTGTTACTCACTGAAAGTTGGGGTGGGGGAGATTGTCTGTGGCTGACAATTAAAATTTACCCAAGACACTTGCCATATCAGTCATGCCTGTCTGCCAAACCAGGGAACTGGTAATAAACAGGATCCAGTCAAGAAGATTCTGTCTGTGTTTTGTTGTTATGCTGGAACCCCAGAAGGTACCACCACCACCACCACCACTGATGATGTTTAATAATAAAGTAAATGTTATTGATGGACAGACTAGGTATTGTGTGTGCATGTCTCTCAAGATTTAAAGTAAATCAGTTCATTTTGTTTTGATTATTTGAAGATGGGGCACATGGCCTGGTGATTAGGACATTCATTTTCTGACAATGAGACTCGGGTCAAATTTAACCATGGTTGATTTTTGAATTTTTATGTTATTGACCTTGGGAGGTGATCCCAGCATGTTGCATCTTTGGAAAGTGCCTGAAAACCATAACACAGGTTAACCTAAGCCTTGTGGGTGAAATTAGGTAGATGGAATTGTTTTTTGATGATACACGGTGAGAGAAAAATCAAGTTGTAAAAACATGAAAATAAAAATATTCTGTCTTTTTATATTTAAAAGCCTTTTTCTTTGTTGTGGACTGATTCAAATCTGCAACAAATTTTTCATATCAGAAATTATGAATTTCTTCTAAAAATATATTTTGTATTTGTCTCGAAACATTTTATATAATAAAAAAAATGTTTAAGGAATTAAATTAACAGTGATTGGTAAGGTTATATATATAAAAATTAAATTGAAGTTCAAGTCTTTAAAATTTGTAGACATTATTATTGAAAATTTATATTTTTTAAATTTTTCTCATTCAAATTTGATTTATTTCCAGGTGATATTTATGTTCATGCTGATCTTCATGGAGCAAGCAGTGTTATCATAAAAAACCCATCAGGTAGACATTCTTAATTGGCATATTACTCTTTTTCCTTCTGGAGTACTAGTCAGTTAGCTAGTTTTGTAGATCATTATTACTCAGAATTGAGTTTGATCCTCCATATTTATGGCCTTTTGCCAGAACTAATTTGATCTTAGAAAATAACATTTAATTCCTGTATATTGTAACTTATAAAAAATGGAATTTAGTCCATAGTTTTCAGAATAGAATGTCAGAAATTTTATCAATTTGAATTTCTGGGATTTAGGGTTTTATTAAAAACCAGTTTTGGAGGAATTACTTGAACAAATATTTTTCTTATTTCTGTTGATGGTTTACATCCAGTAATAAGAGACGTAATAATCTTAAGTTATTCAAATTTCTTAATGTTTGGCTCAATGTTTTATAATCATTGTTGTGGTTAATTACTTTTTTTTTTTTTTTTTTATTGAAATACTCGGATCCTTTTCAATTCTGTGACCACTGAGTAAGCATCCTAGATCTGAAAGTAACAACACCTGGTGACATTTGAACTCTCACACAATATCCTTGAAAATCTGATATGGAAAGCAGCTTATCAATTAGGCCACAGAGAACTTTATCCTTCTGATAGGTTTCTCTTGCTTAATTGTTAGGTACTGTCTGAATTAAATAGGTTGCCAAGGATATAGAATACAAGTTCAAATCTTGTCAGATGCTGATTATTAATTTCTGATCTGTACTGCTGAGTTGTAGCATGTAAAAATGAGCTTGGGATAAAAAAAAAAACAACAAAAATAAGATGAAAGAGAAACTTAACTAGTCATAGGTTAATGATAATAACAATGCTTTATTTGTTAAATTCTCATTTCTGATCTAGGCTCCTTAAGTTGTATGATGTAAAAATGACCTGAGAGTTGTGATAAAAAGCAATATTAATAAGATGAAAGAGAAACTAGACAAAGACTGCTCAATTTGAGAGAGTTTTTATTTCTGATCTATATTCTGCAGCTTGCAGTTGTAGAACGAAAAAAAAAACTCATCAAAATTTAACAATGTTTAATAAATTGATAACAACAATTTATTTCTGAAATTTATAAATGTTGATATTGGATTTGAAATAATTTTTGGTTTAATTATTTCAATTTGGGTTAACAGCTTTTTGTCTTAAATTTAGGTGATCCAGTACCTCCCAAAACATTGAATGAAGCAGGAGGTATGGCCATTTGTAACAGTGCTGCTTGGGATGCTAAAGTGGTTACCAGTGCCTGGTGGGTCTATCATGATCAAGTGTCAAAGACAGCCCCAACTGGAGAATACTTAACTACTGGAAGTTTTATGATTAGAGGTAAGCATGATATTATGTTGATATCATCCACTACTGGATAAGGTAAGCATGATGGTTAATAAGGTAAGGAAATATATGCTTCAAGATTTGTGCTAGACTATCAATAAATTTCTTTGTCCTGGATCCGCTGATGATATATATTTCTTCTTTACAAATGGATTGGTTGCTAGCTTCAAAACTTCATAGATCGTGATGAAGACAATAATTATTATTTACACTATTTACATACAATTATTCTTATCTTTGTTGTTGTTATCACAACGTTTTGCCTGTTGTGCCCTCCGGCCATTATCAGGTGTATGCCATTCTGGGTAACTGAACCCTTTATTTAATCTGTGGCACAAGATTGTTCTCATTTCACTGACCATGCCTAGGAATAACACTGTACACTGGCTTCATGAACCAACACTTCAATCCACTAGGCCATTGTCCCACAGTCAGTGTACTCAGTTTCAGTGGGAATTGGGAGAGCAATAACTGAGTAGTACTAAAATAATTAGACATGATATCTCTAGACATGAGCAGTAGAATGAAAACAGTCTACCCCCATAGATTAAATAAAGGGTTCAGTTTGAAATTTCTTGTAGGTTACCTGGATTGATCCACACCTAATGAAGTCTGAAGGGCACAAAGGTCAAAATGTGACAACAACAACAAAGGTGAGAAAAATAGTCCACTTGTAAATAGTGTAGATATTAATGATAATTCCTCATCCCAGAAATTTAGACAGAAAGGGATTATCCTGACAAAGCTGATGAGATATTTAGGCTTACAGACAAATCACATTGAAACACTGGTTCCTGTACAATCACCTGATTTAATCAATGTTGAGCCTGGTCAGTACCTTGATGGGTGACTGCTTGGGGATACAAAGTGCTATAAGCTTGGATGAGTGGGTGGTATAATGGATAATGGCTTGGAATTGTTAATTGGAGAGCAGAGTTCGAATTCTAATTGGGTTTGTTATATTCACTTATGTGCTGATTTGCACTTGGGAAAGGTATGACTTCACCTCTTCTCAACCCTGTCATGGGTTAATTAGTAAGACATTGAAGTCAACAGTCTTTCTTGTTAAACATGTCCTGATGATTACATTTAGCATGAAACAAATTGTTGACTTCAATGTCCATTTTTATATATATATATATATATATAAATAAATTGCAGTGTACAAGACTAGTTTTGAAGCCTAAAAAATATTTCCAAAGCTAAGGCTTGACTTATATGGCGGGTATAAGATGTAAGCCTTTACCACCGAGTTGTAAACAATCTTAACAATTACTGTACCCCGCAGCAGTCTGCCACAAATATACCCCATTAAATTTTTTTGGTGAACATATTTAGCATATAACACACAAATTAATATAAAATGATAAAATCGGAACACAAAACTCAGTATTCTATTGATCCTATAGCACATATCACATCCAACAGCTGATACACTAAGTATAAACACTGACCAAAGCACCATTTAACTTAAGGGGCCATTCAGACAACTAGGTATGCCATGTGAGTCATCTGCACAATTTCATGATAGTATTGACACATAATGGCAATTTATTGAATATGCACATACTGCAAAGGTATAATTACTGTGCAATTATTGTACATTACTTTAAAGGTCATTTGAAAGTTACGATATGGCATTGAGGATTAAAACCGTAACTCTAAGATACTACATAATTTTAAAAACATTACAATAACTCATATACAGTGTATTTTACAAATTTCAACTCCAAGGTCACTTAAAATTTTGTATTTTATTCACAATCTTTCTCCAAATACTGTTCATCATCTATGTTTGATGGGGGTGAGTTGATTCATATGGTAGGTATAGGCTTAATTCTTGAGCTAAAAATCTTGAGGTTGACTTCTATGCCACAATTTATGTATATATATATATATATATATACACACACACATACACACACACACACATATATATACATACACATTTTTTTTTTTCATAATTTAGTTGTTCAAATACTTGTCTAAAACAAGTTCTTTACTGTGGATATGTTTTTTTTTTTTTTTTTTTTTTACTCTTTATTCATCAAAACATTACAGGGCATACTTTTAAGACATCACACTGGATATTATGTCACCTAAATTTTTTAATTTTTTAAAATTAACTTATAAATTGTTAGTATTTTGGGATGTAAAACAGGGTTGGGCATAAATTTTTCTTTGTGAAGAAACTGTAATTGATTTTATTAATTTGTTGATTTTTGCCTTCAGCTTGATTTTGTGATGAAATTAAAAAATATTTTTAAGCCAAAATTAAAGAAAAGTATGGCTTTTTAAAACCCTCAGCAACCTTAATGGATGTTCAATAATTAAATATAAAATCTTATTTTCCTGTTTTTTTTATTTGTTTGTTTTTAATTAATATTTTTATTTTATTTTAATTTTTTTCTTTACTAGGTAAAAAGAACTATTTACCTCCATCTCACCTGATTTACGGATTTGGGCTCCTTTTTAAGGTAACTGGTTAATTTTAAGACCTCTTTGTAGTAAGTTAAATTTTAGTATTGAAGAAACATGTATTTTTTTTATGGCTGTTCATTTATTCAATTAGTCACCACTCCTCTTCATCTCACAATTGTGGCTCATGGTGGCATTCAAGGCAGAATAATGCGATGGCTTACCAGTCCCTTTTGCACTGGAGATGTTGCGGTTACTCAGTCCCTCCTCTCAGAAGTTAAAGAAGCAAGACATACAAGTCAACAGATGGTTTGAATTCAGAGTTTTCCTTCTCCTAGACTGGCAATGACATATGGAGGCAGTGCACTTCTCAGACTATGTACCCCCACCTTCTTGATCGTACCAACAAGATCCAAAGGAATACAGGACATTACATTCAAAGACACTTTTGTTGCAGGACTTGCTGGAAAGTTGTCAGTGTTGACAGCCAACTGCTTTCGGGGCTCCGATCCAGGTTTTCTGTTTAGATTTACTTCCATAGCTTTTTCTGTGTTTTGGATATGACCACAAGGTACTAAAGGTTTAAAATAAGGATTTTCCTTCCCCTAGATGGACTGCCTTCCTGGGCAGTCGAGCTTCATCTAACCGAAGCAACTGGTTATGAGACGCCAGTTTTCAACTTTTGCCCATTTTCCGATTTGGAACTGGATTTAGTTGTCAGAGGCTATTTGAGACACATACAACAAAAGAATTTTATAGGGAGCTTGTCCCCTCTATTACACCTGGCTATGATAACTTTTGAAACATAATGTATGTATATAAACAATTATGTAAATTATGTGTTTTAGAAATGCCCTCCTAAAAAATGAATGAAATATATAAAATATTAAGTAAATAAAAAATAGTACATAAATAAACAAACACAAATATTGAAAAGTTTGAGAAATATATATTGAGATTTAAGCATAAAATACTAAGAGATTATGAAGTCATTATTTAATGTACAATAAAATCATTTCTATTGCCTTTTTGACTATACAAACACCTAAACTATTAATTGATAACTGTAACTTTAGGTAAGCAAAAAGTAAAAATGACACAAATCTTCAAGATAGTTGTACAAAAACAAATAAATACTAATATAGAAAAACATGGTAACTGGAAAAGGGTTGAAAGAAATATTAATAAACAATACATATATAACTTCAGATAAATATAATAATCATGATATATATAATAAATGAAATAAAGTAATAATTGCAAATTATATTAAATTTTTAAATATTTATATTTTTCAGTTAAACTTAAAATCTCATAATTGTTTTGAGCTTTGACAAAATATGTCATCTTTTCTTGAGTTCAGAAGGCCATTATGGCTATTAGAAGAATAAAATAATTAGTTTTTACTATAAAGAATGGTGTTGCCTAAAACTTTGTCTCTATTTTGACTTGTAAAATTGAAAAAAAAGAACACAGAAAAACAAGAAATTAAGTAAAATAAAATAAGAATAACCTTTGGTTTGTGTAGTATTGTCACTGCATCCTTTGTGGCTTGAACTAGTGTTTTCCAAAATATGATCATTGCTTTGCTGTGGGTCACATTGGCTGTCTTTGGGTTAATACCCAAAAGTTGCATCATCTTGATTTCTCACTGAAAATCAAAAAATCTTTTCACCAGGCATAAGTTTTTCTTGTAATTATAATTGACATAACATGAGGGATCTTTATAAATCAAATTTTGTTTAAATTTTTTAAGATCAAAGTTGACTGAAAAGCAAGAAGTGTGAAAGATGAAACTGTTATCATAGAAATTACATCTAGCCATTTCAACTGTAAAATGAGACCTTACCACCAGTTTAGTATGGTGCTTAAATTTAAAGTACTAAAGAGGAAAGCTCATCAATTACCATGAAAGTATTTATGGAAAAGGCACAGGAAAGTTACATTATGGTGGTGGGAAACTAATTGAAACTGAGATGCCAAGCCAAGACCAATAACATTGCAGATTCTTCCTTGTATTTTATCTAGAATCTCTAAATATATAGCAGAAGCATCAGACCAAATGTGATAGCAATATTCAATGCAAGCATAAAATAAATGTGTAAGATAGAATGTTGAGAGAAAAATTGTCTAGCACAACACAATGAACCATCTTACCTAGCAGCAGACCTAGTAGTTGATTCAATATAATCTTTTCACTTCAAGTCAGTGGAAAAAATTAGTCTGAGAAAGTGCAATGATTTAACTTTAATCATTTCTCCAGAGTTGGGACAGGCAAGACTGAAGATGGTGATACTCCAATTCAACCACACAATACTAAGTGTATGCCTTAGATGGTATGCCATTTATAATCATTAGAGTCTTCAAATATCTTGGCTCTTGGATGTCCAACTCTCTCAAGTATCTCGTCAGAAGAGCTCTAGTTTGGTCAGCCTGCGAAAGATGACAAAAGTATGGAAATTAAAACTTGGTCACAACCTCAAGATATGCATCTTCCTGGCTACAGTAGATTTAGTTTGTCTGTATGGAAGTGAGACCTGAACCACGGACAAAGCCTTCTGCAAAAGGTGAGATAAATGCTATACTGGAATTTTACAAACAGCACTTAATATACAGGATGGCCCGAAAGTCTTGTCACTATACATAATATAATTTTTTATTTCAGATGTCTACCATGAAAATGGTGGTGTTCATACAGACATTGTCAATGTGTGACTGTCAATGAAAGTGAATAAACTGAATCCAGTACAAGTGCTTTGTATTACTGTATTCTTCTATTGTTCTCATTACTTTTTGGTAATGGGTGACAAGATTTTTGGACCACCCTGTACACTGGTGTGCCTAACGAACGAACAAACTATTCTATAGAAAACTAATTCGAGTCTTGAAGATACCATTCATACGGATGAAATTTGTCAGGCATTGCTTATGCCATCCAGAAGAAATTGCATTAAAATTTATTTTATAGACACCATCTAAATGATGCAAGAAAGAACAGGGCAAGGCAAGCCGTGATGTTCCCAGATACACATGCAAAATATAGTCATCAAAAATCTGGATGAACTCAAAACAGCCATGATGGATTGTGGACAATTGGAAAAAATGTACTTTTATTGCTAGTGAAGATTTGGCTAAACTAAACTAAAAATGAATTATTTGTTCTTGTATGTTAGATAAACCTCTCCCTACTCAGTATTCAGGTTCAAATTCTGCACCCTACACTATCACAGAAAAATGTCCTATAAATTGCTGCCTTTAATTTAGATTCTACAACCATTTAAGTATGTGGCATAAATTAGAAATAAAGAATAAGAATTGCCATTGTATAAAATCAACAATGAAACATAGTGGATAAGGTTAATGAGAATGTGTTGTGACAGCTGATGGTGATCCTGAAAGAAAGCTACAAAATTTTAAAAAGTGGAATGGATGCTGGGATTTTTGAGATTCCAAGGAGACTACTTTGAAGGGGACTATAGTGACATTGCCCTAGGTAGGCTAATTTTTTTTTCCATTATTGTTAAATAGCTGGATGCTTTTTTTGGACAGAATTTGTATAAATGTTTATAGGTTGCATTCAAAATTAAGTAAGGAAAATCTGAGTAAGATATTTTAATTTTTTTATTACAGCTGGAAGATGGCAGTGTGTTTCGTCATGCTGGGGAGCGTAAGGTTCGAGGAATTGAAGAGGAGAGTTTAACCACAGTGGAAGAGGGGGATTCCAGCTCTGGTGTCAGTGACTATAACTCCAAGACCAAGGAAGAATCTGCCAATGAAGGAGAGTCGAACAAAGAAAATTCTTCTGACTCTGAAGAAGAGGAAGAAGAAGAGGAGGAGGAGGAGGAGGAGGAGGAGGAAGAGGAGGAAACAGTTCATGAGAATAATGGTATCCTACCAGAACCACAGAATATCAAAAAGGAGGGTCCAATTCCAAAGAAGAATGACATCACTGAGAAAAATGTAGAAGAATTTGCATTTCCTGATACAAGTATTAATTTGGATTTCAGTGGTGAAAAGTGAGTTGTTTGTACTTTTTTTAAATTTTATTCAATATCATCCCAATCAAGGCATTAATGCCAGTAAAACACAATGGGTTACAGGGTATGGAAGAATTAGGAATGGAACATTAATGATGAGCAGAAAGAAAAGAGAGTAATCAGGTGGACAGGAGATAGTGATTGACATTGCATTTAAATTTTTGCAGATTAAAGTTGGCTGGAAAGCATGGACCTGAAAGTGAGTTCCACAAGTGAGAAGTGCGAGAGAAGAAACTGTTAGCATAAAACTTATGGCTACATCTAGCGGCCAGCTCAACTGTAAATTGATGAGATCTTGACACCAGTCTAGTGCTGTGCTTAAATTAAAAAAGGATTAGGTGCTTAATTCAGACTGTTTTGACTGTTTTATCTATTAGCTTAATGAAATTGGTTAAGATTTTCTTAATATTTAATGTAGAAAAGCTGACATTAAAAGTATTTATTCAAGTGAGATTTTGGGATTAAACTATATTATATATATATATATATATATATAAAAGCGATTGACATTGAGTTTAAATGTTAAAACTCACCTAACCAACCAAATTTCTAATTAACCAAAATAGTGTTTTGTTTTTAGCAGAGGTATTAAATTAAGGTTGCTTGCATGTCCAGTCCATAGTAGAACATTTATATAGAGCATCAAAAAGAGACAGTTGACATTTCTGGGGCAAATAATGAGGAAAGAGGGCTTAGAAAATTTGACACTCACAGGACATATTGAAGGTAAGAGGGACAGGAAAGCAGCAAATAACCTACCTAATGAGCTTGTGTAAATGGTTGGCAGAACATGGATTAGGAGAGATTACAAAATGACCAAATTTACTAAGACCTACAAAGGACAGAAAATTGTAGAGAGCCAGGTTCATTCACATCCTGAAGGGCACAGCACATAGAAGCTTTGTAAGTGGTTGGCAAAACAGTTATTAAGAGACATAGTGAAAAGACAAAATTTACTTAAACCTACAAGACAGGAAATCATGATCATCCATGTCCTGAATGGACACAGCACATTGAAGTAGTAGTGACTTAATGATGCGTGTGATTATTTTTTAACTAATTTCTTTGTCGTTATTTTTATTATTTTTTCACTTGAGCTCCAGAAGAAAATTCTTTCTGGATCCATCCTGGAAAACAACTTTAATCGTTTTGAGAAAATTTTTTACTGTCCCGAAATCTAAATGCCTTAACATTATCATTTATCATGTTTGGTAGTGTAATAAAAACACCATTAGAAATACTGGTTCCTGTACACTCACCAAAGTTAAGCAATGCTGAGCCTTGTCAGTACCTAGATGGGTGACTACATGAGAATACCAGGTGCCATATGTTTGGATGTGTGGGTGGTGTAATAGAGAATGGCTCTGAATTGTTAATCAGATAGCTGAGTTCCAATTCCTGTTGGGTTCGTTATATTCATTTAATCAAGTTGGATCCACCTTTTCTCCCCCAGATGTGGGTTAATTAGTAAGACTTGTATCACTAAACTATTATCTCCAAAAAAATATTTGGAATGTGACTAAATGAGGTTCATTTTTCAACATAGTCCCCCTTGTGGCCTGCACACTTCTTCCATCAATGTTGCAGTGCTTCGATCCAATTTAAGAAGTTTTCATTTAGTTCTTAAAATATCAGACATGATGTTACCATTGTGATAATGGTTCCCAGCCAAGTGCTTCTTTTTTTTTTTCGTGTTGGGGAATAGATGATAGTCAGATGGGACCAAAACAGGGAGGGTCATTAACCAGTTCAAAGCTACAGTTACACACAGCAGCCATTGAAAGCAAGGACTTGTTTGCTGTAGCATTGTCCTGATAAAGCAAGCCTACCTTTCGTCAGTTTTCCTGAGCATTTGGTCTTGATAACCTTCTGTATTATTCTCTTCTTTGATTTCTTGCCTTTCTTCTCTTGAGATTTACAGGAACGATATTTTTTTTTGTAGGCTCATGGTTCGTAAAAACCAAACAGAGAAGCAGAGTAACAGTTTCATTACAAATGACAAAGAAGAATTGAAACAAGAAGTAAGTTTAAGAGAAACAGTACACCCACCTCCTCTGTCTCCTAACTCTTGGGAGGAATAAAGTAGGTATTAACCCTTTATCTGTGAGAAGAATGGCTTGCTACAGTTTTTTCTAAATTTAGTGGTAACTTTAATTTTAGGAACAGTTAGTGAAATGTATTTAATTTTTTTTTTTTTTTTCTTTTATCTGAATATGATTTTTATTAGTGTACATTAAAAAGAAATAATGGAAAATGATTCTAATAAGAGTATTAAAGAAAATGTTTAGTCAAGTATTGGTTTTTCATATCAGAGGATTGATCACTTTTACCAAGATATTTGCAAAATTCTATGTTCTGGGTATGGTGATAAACTACGTCTGGTAGCAAGGCCTCTGATAGGAAGATTTTGAGAAGTGTGGAACCACCTCTTAATTGCTTTTGTTCCCAAGTCCACCATGACCCAGAGTGGTAGCACTTGTTAGGGTCCCAGCCATGAGCAAATAGTTAATCCCCAAACTGGGGTCAAAACACTATGAAAGTATAAAAATAGATTTTTATTGTAAAAATACCAGAAAGTTTTACCAACAATATATTTCGAAAAAAAAAAAAATTACCAGCAATAGATTTGACTCTTGACAAAAACCCTCTTTACAAAAATGTGTCTATGAAACCTGATATACAAACTGATTTCTTACAAAGAATACATATTCTATTCATATGAACATATTAAAAAAAATGTCACTGAGGTTGATATGCCGCAAAACAAAGTAAACAAAATTGTATTTATATTTTACAGGAAAAGAAAAAATACATTCAATTTACTCTTTTGGACTAGCTTCTACCTCCTGTTAACATCACAATGGAATATCCTATTCCTAAGAAGGGGAGACTATGTAACTGACAAATATTTAAAGTCCCATTAGATAATCTGTTTATTTGAACCAAGTCTTGAAAGATGAAATGAAAAGAAGTTTATTTTTAATAATTTCCTTCACTTATTTAATTGGTTGGTGGAAGGAGTGTTTACTTGATGTTATGACTCCTAGAACTGAATTTTCCATCAATCTTTTATAAATTTGTGTAAAGTTGAATTTTGTCTCTTGTTTCTTCACATCAAAAATCAAAATAGCTTGCTTTATTAACATGTAATAAATGTTTTCATAACAATTTGTAAAAAGCACATTTTAATAAATAGTTCTGTGTTTAGTTTAAATGAAAATGTTAAAAGTTGCCATGTATCAGTTGTATATATTTTTAAAAAATTCATTGTGCTTAAATAGAAAGAATTTATGTCTTCTCACATTTCAGTTGGAAGTTAGAAAACCTACAGCATTCATAATAACTATTGTTGTAGCCTTCTATTCCATATTACTTACAAATTAGTCAAATGGAACTGAAAAAAAAAATGGAATTTTCTAAATATGTCCAAATAATCTGTTTAGATTTCTTAAAATTATACTGAATTATTTGAACAAGTAAAAGAAAAATAGTAAGTTTGCAGAATTTAATTTTTATTATTATTGGTATTTATTACAATGTTTCAGCCATTGTACGCTCCAGCTTTCGTCAGGTGGTTGGAATGTCAAACTGAACCCTTTATTTCGCTCACTGGGATAGACTGTTCAATTTCAACTCCCACCATCTATACAGCATAAAGAAAGGTATCGTTCGCTGCTTACAACACTGAGCAAAAGTCATGAGTGGCGACCCAGAGACATTAGATAAAGAATTGGTTGGTATAAGTAGTACCCTACAATGTAACAACTACTCTGGATACATGGCAGCAGCCCCAAAAAACTGTGATAGGTGGGTACAAGAGGAGGAGGACAACATTCAGAAAACAGTCTGCCTGCCTAATGTGAAAGGGTTATCAGATAAAATGCAAAGGATCTGTGGTCCATATAACATCAGGACAACCTTCAAAAGCTTGATTTCACTTCGCAGATATCTCTCTCAAGTAAGACCCCCCCCCATAAAGGAGAACATGACTAAAGACTGTGCTGCTCCAGAAAGAAATATAAAGGGGAGACAGGCAGCCCCCTTAAGATAAGGCTTCAAGAACACCAGAAAGCTGTAACATGAGGGGAAGTGGAAAAATCAGGCGTGGCTGACCACATATGGAGAGAAAAGAGAGATAACCGCCCTCTGTGGGATCAGGTTGAGATCATAGACAAAGAACACCAGTGGAAACTTCGTAAACTTAAGGAATAAGCACATATGCTAGGCCACAAAAATCTCCTGAGCCGACCAAGAAATGAATAAAATATGGGAACCAGTAATAAGGAGTGCCAGAGAAAAGCGATAATCACAACAAAAATTGCTATATGAGCTCTGGTAAAAACATGAAATTATAACAGCAAAAATTGCAATATGAGCACTGGTAAAAATGGTTACTGAAGACATTAAGTTTATAATACTCAGAAATTCATACCTAGATGTCCTCAAGGACACATGGTCCAATGGATAAAGGTGTTAGTTATATCCAGTGACAGGACCCAAAGAGTATGAGTTCAATACCTGGTTAAGGCAGTGGAGAACTTAGAGAGGGGAATTAACAGGTGGTAACTGATAACTGACATCCATTAAACATGGCATGTGGAACTAGAACAGTCTACCCCAGTGAGCGAAATAGAGGGTCCAGTTTGACATTCCTACCACCTGAAGAAGGCCGGAGCGTACAATGGCCAAAATGTTGTAATAAATATAGCGACAAAGATGAGGACAATAGCCTAAATAATGTAAATAGTGTTATTATTATTAATATAAATATTAGAAAATTATTTGAATGTTTTTTACATGGTCAGTTCTATGTAGCTGTGTCCAGAGTAGGAAATTTAAGTAGATTAAGTAGATTTAGTATAATAATGAAAAGAACTTTAGAAAATAAATGTCTTGCTGAAAATGTTGTTTATGTAAAAAGTTGAGAGGTATGAGAACTTCTCTGTTGTAGGATGGGTAAAATGGAAACTTTTGTTTTGTTTGATATTGTTAGCCACAGAATTGCAATGATGGAAATTTCAAGCATCTGCAATTGTAATTGTTTATTATTGGAAAATGTCAAATGATATAGAAACAAGTATTCATTACCTTGGATGTACATTGTCAATATTGATTTCTATCAATTACAAAAAATGGTCTGGTTCAGAGAATTTACCATTGAGAAAAAAATTTACCACACTCCTTTGAAGCAGTTTTTTACCTACTGTTTGCATTTTGGTTCACAAAGGTTACTAGTAAAAGTATGTACAAATTAAAGTGAGTACTAAATTCACTTTGTGCACACTTCAATTTCTTGAAATATTTTGGGTAGCACTTCATAAACCAATGCTTAAAGTATCCTCTTAGAACATTGACCAAACAAGAATTGTTCTGCTATAATACAAGGCCATAACAATGAAAGCACCTATAAGGGTCAAACTCATTGAATGACAATTAGCTCATTCTGTCAACTTGTCAAGTTATTTTGCTTTGTTTTAAGTGAAGCACTCGTTTTCAATTTGCAAAAAAATAAAAAAGAACAAAGGAGGTAACTTGTATTTTTAAAATTATTTTTGAATTATTTAAAACATGTTGCTATTATTGCTCAAAATTTATAAGGTAAACTGAAGTGCCGCGTGTCATAATGATTATATACTATCAAAAGATGATGGCAATATTCAAATAATATTGAAATTACATTGGTCATATATTCTACATGAGTAAATCAGGATTTTTTTATACAATTCTATTGTCTAGTGTAAGAAAGAATTTTCCTTTTTAAATCACTAAAAATATCCAAAAAAGCTACAAAATAGAAGCCTCTGCTCTCTTTTTTCTAATTGTTATTGTATGCATGTTCATTTACTATATTTTTATATAGTGTATAATACGAATTGAATATAATACAGCCCCATGTTTATGAAGCTAAAAACAGGGAATAAATTGCATCCTTCAGTATTGTATGACCCTATAGTGCAGCCATCCCTATGTAAATTTATTTTTTTAAAAGTTGTACAACATCATCCATTAAAATCTAAATGTTGTATTTCACTAAAATATTTAATTTTTCATATTAAATAATAGAAATGAACTAGATGTTTAGCCATTGTGTGTTTCTTCTCAGAATTTCTGTTTTCAAACTTATTTTCCAATTTTTGTGGAAAGGTGTTAACTAGACATACCTGCTAATACATTTTAAGGTGTTAATTAATCTGTTGTACCTTTCTGTTTTAGATGACTATTAGATTTCTATATATTAATAAACTAAGAAAATAAAAAATATTGTCTTTCATTATGAAGAGAGAAACAAATATTGCCAATATATCAAATTCTTTTAGAAATAATTTTTATCAACACCTGCAAACTTTGTTTTATTATCTGTTATGCTGAGTTTATTTGCAATGTTGCAGTTTCAAACAAGAGTTTTTTAAGCTGAGTAAAAATTTCTGAAAACTTGTATGACCCTCCCCACCTTTTTTGTCTTTTTGCTCAGAATTTCTTGTATTATTCACAAGAAAATAATTGATGCTGTGAAATACTGCCTGTTAACATAGAAACAATAGAATATCCTATTCCTAAGAAGGGGAGCTCAGGCTATGTGACTGATAAATATTTAAAGTCACATTAGATCATCTGTTTATTTGAGCCAGATCTTGAAAGGTCAAAGGAAAAAAAGTTTATTTTTAATAATTTCCTTTACTTATTTGATTCACTAAGCTATTGGGACAATGTAGACAAACCAAGTTGAGTGTTTTGATTGAATTTTGCTGATTTGCTCATTGTTTATACATCCTTAGTCAGGCAGTATCTGCTTTGAGAGAGTATAGGTACAATTATATGTGCCATTAGGGCTTTAAACCGGTCATTTTAAAAGTATGTACAAATATATACAAAAATGTATGAAGCAAAGTGGGAGGAAGGGCATGCATAAGAGAAAAGATTTACTCACTGTAAAGAAGTAGATTTAAAAATATAAAAACAGCAATAAAAGAAATAACAAAAAAGGGTTCACCGATTATCATTCCTCACTCTTCAGAGCCAATCATGGACAAAAATATAAATATGTGCACAGTGACTAAAAAAAGGGAGAAAAAATAATTCATTTTTCACTGAGGTTAAAAAATTTTATTAAGGCTTTCTAAAACTGACATTTTAAAAGTCTATATAATATATAAATATATAAAAAATATATGAAACTAGGGAAAGGAAGAGCAAAGATAAGAAAAAAAATTATTCATTGTAATGTGAACTGAAAAATATAATTACGAAAAAAAAAAGACTAACCCAGTTATCACTCCTCACTCTTCAGAGCCAATCAAGGACAAAACATGTCTATTTGTGATTACTGTGGTTTGGTGAAATTAACACCAGATTTACTTGGCAAATCTCTCAAAGTCTGCACTTTTGTTATTTTCCTGCCAATTCAGTGTCTATCTTGCATTCAATATATACTGTCTCTAACCTGTACTTCCTTCATAGCAAGTTTAAGTTGTTTCTATGTTGCTTCTCTTAAGTTTGCTGCTATCTTATTGATCTGTTTCTATTGTTTCTCAATTAACTAGAATCTGCTGTGTACACACACACACACACACACACACTACAACCTCCTTGAGTAGATGCCTCATGTGTCACTTGTCAGATCAAAGTGCTATAAAAAACATCAACCCACAATTTCCAAGAACCCTTTAGAAAAATTCTGATTGAAAATACTAAAATTTTATATAAATTACATTACCAGAAACATCTCAATATTAGAGAGACTCTGTATATCAAACAACACTCTCCTACTGTCAACTTCACCTTACTTAACGGTGGAAATGGAGTATTAAAAGTTTTTTATAAATAGAAAGATGCTTACGCAAATTCCAGCCATGTTCAACATGTGAAAGCTTGGAATGAACACTCTGACTTGCACAAAAATAAAATACAACTTAAATGGTCAAAAGCACGAGGAAAAAGTAATAACACCAAAAGCAAAATCCCCCTTGAAAATGGCTAAAGAAGTGGCTGAAAGCACTTGAAACAAAGAAAATTATGGAAAATTTTTATACTCTCTTACTTTTACAAAATGGAAAAATGTAAGGATGGTGGAAAATTAAATAAAAAAATGAATTAAGTCTTTCTTGTCTGCAGTATTTAATAAAAGATATTTAAAAGAAAGGTTGCTAGCCAAATATATATATATATATATATATATACACACACACCACTGTCTTTAATTAAGTCAGTAGGTATAAATTCTGTATTTCTTATTTTGAATCTAGGCTGAAAACAAAGGTGGCAGGTTATCGGCTAAAATGAGGAGGTAAGATTCACAATTAACTCTTGATTGTTTCTTTTTGCTAGTTTCTATGCCTCCTTCTTGTGACAGTCTTTTATGATTTCTGAAATCCTTGTAGGGATCTGAAAAAAAGTCGAAAGAAAGGAGTGACGATTGATGAATTCCTGAAACAGAAGGAGCAGTCTGTGGATGAATTCTCAAGAAAATCTGAGAAAGACGAAGAACAAAATGCAGAAAATGAAAATGAAAATGAAAATGTGAGCATTATACATTTCTCATTAATATTTATATTAATTCTTTTTCTTTTTGATTATCAATGTTTCCCTAAAAGGTAAAATCAACTGTAATGCATTTATCTTATACATAACTTATCCTTGTTCTATTAGTAATGTTTACATTAATTCCTGAACAATGACAATGCATTTCTTTTATATTTTAGGAAATGGATTAAATCTGACAGATTTTTAATTTATTTGTTTAAACATTATTTTATAAATGGATACTCATATTTGATTAGATGCTCTGTTTTATACACACACACACATTTATGTGTGTGTGTGTATATATATATATATATATATATATATATATATTTTTAAATGGATGCTCATATTTGAGTAGATGCTGTGTTTTACACACACACATTTATGTGTATGTGTGTATGTGTATATATATATATATATATATATATATATATATATATTATTTTTAAATGGATACTCATATTTGAGTAGATGCTCTGTTTTTATTCATTTATTTATATCTACCGGCCTGAATATTTTGAGAAATCTTAGCTGCTGGAGAATGCATATTTTTCTAACAAGGTTTTACTAATAGCTACAAAGAACAGGAAATTGTGGAGAGCCATTATTGCCTATGTTCTGAGGAGACATAGCATATAGAAGATAATTAAATTGATATCCCTAAAATCTGCTAGCTTAAATAATCAAAAACAATTGTGATTGATTTCCCACTGAATAATAATATTGTGTTGTCAGCATTTGCATTAAATAAGGGTGGATTAGAGTCTAGCACCCCCCTCCCCATCCTCCCTTGCCAACAAAAATGACAAGAATATGTGGCTTGGAGAGAATATAACTTTCACAAGACATTGGAGTCATCAGAAGCTGAGTAAATAGTGAGTAAACTATTAAATGAGTTTATGTGAATAGATTGGTAAACAAGGATAGACAAGACATTGGAGTCATCAGAAGCTGAGTAAATAGTGAGTAAACTATTAAATGAGTTTATGTGAATAGATTGGTAAACAAGGATAGACAAGACATTGGAGTCATCAGAAGCTGAGTAAATAGTGAGTAAACTATTAAATGAGTTTATGTGAATAGATTGGTAAACAAGGATAGACAAGACATTGGAGTCATCAGAAGCTGAGTAAATAGTGAGTAAACTATTAAATGAGTTTATGTGAATAGATTGGTAAACAAGGATAGACAAGAGAGTAAAAGTATCTTTTTATTTTGGAAGTGAATCATGAGAATTTGAGACAAATTTTTGAATAGTGATGAAGCAGTTAAAACCGTGATTGTTCTGGAGTGGCTGATGAGATATTTTGCTGATGATATACAAAAAGAATTCTGTATTAACCTGATCAAAAAACTTAAAAATAAAAATGAAATAAAGATATTGAAACCAAGAAAATTTTTAATTTTATTTTAAAATTGAATTTTAATATATTTGACATTTGTTTGTGTTCCATCTTTTCATTAACATTTGAATGTTTTACAGATTTCTTTTTTTAATATTCTTGTAGATACAAACAAACCTGTCACAGCCTTCACAGCAACCTTTGAAAAGAGGAAAGAGAGTAAGTGTATTCTGATTGTAAATAATATAAATTATATATTGTTATTGTTCTAGATCTCATATTGCATTTTATTATTAGTTATTGTTGTTATTGTACCTAATAAGATCTATGGTAAGAAAGCCTTATCTATCCATCAGCTAACTTTTATTATTGTCTGTTCTATTTTATTATTAGTTATTGTTATTAAACTCTTATTGTTTTGAATTTACATAAGTAAACATTATCATATATATATATATATATATAATAGAGAGAGAGAGAGATACAAACATAGTATGTATAGAGTTTAAGTGGTTTCAAGCAATTGCTGGATGTCTTTGAACATATGGTGGGGGAACCGTTGTAGGCTGAGATGGAAAGTGTCATAATTTTGGTAATCTAGAAAAATGAAAAACAGTTCATGTTTCCTTGTTAATATCACTTTTTCCCTATTATCCTAAGGAAAGGCATGAATCTATTACTCCTTATATTTTATTCTTTTGCTAGTCAACTATGGTCTTATATCATGTCACACTGTTTAATGTTTTACAGTCAGGTCATAGATTCCTCTCTACAAGTGGTAGTTGTTGCACGATATTTTGAGAGGAGATGGGCATTGTCATATTACTGTCTGTGTCTGCTGTAATGTTATAAACAGTTAATTTCATTAAAAATCTCATGATGTAAACTATGAATTGAGGATGTCAAAATCAAACTTGTACAGAAGTTTAAATATCTTGCAAGATGGAAAATGTGACACTGGAATTCGAACATGCATTAAAATAGCAGAAAATGCCTTCCAAAAGCTAAGCAAAGTATGAGGAAACAGTAAAATTTCATTATACACAAAGAAAAGACTGCTATGTAATATCAATCCTCTTATATGGCATATTATATGCTGGACAATTTCATTATGGAGGAAGAGAAAACTTGAGGCAACAGAACTGATTCTGCAGAAGGATGCTGAAAATACAATTGATGGAGCATTGTAAACAATGAGTAAGTCTTAAGGAAAATGGAAATGAAAAAGGTACTTATACGCAGAATCAGCATTTACTTTAATGCTTAAAAAGTGGAACACCCAACAACATTTTGATGAAAAGCAACCAAAAAAAAAAAAAAGAAAGTTAAACATCAATAATTAAATTGCTTAATTGCAGAATTTAAAGGCAACTAAAAACATTGTGCAAATTTGGATCTTTGAGGCTACAAAAAAACGGTGTTCAAAGAATGGTTTTTCCATTGATACTGCTATCATTTTAACTGCCTTTACTCTTTGGCAATGTTTATTGTTTTAAAAAGCAATGTAATAAAATATAAACATATGAAAGTGAATTTAGACATTTTTTTGTTCTTGAGAATTTACAACAAAAATATTAAACACTGTTAGATTGTTTATTTACAAGAATAATTTTATATTTAAAAACTAATACAATGCTATATTTATCATTTACCAGTTAAAAAGAAATAAATATGAAAACAATTTTTTATTTATAAACATTTACTAAATTATTAAAATATGTAAATCCACTGTAAGGAAATCCTTATTATTTACCATTTTATAAAGTTTAAATCAATTTGCAATTAGTCTATATTTTGCCAACATTCCAATAAACAATATAAATGAAGTATTAATAATCTAATAGTGTTTATTGTTTTTGTTGTCAATTCTCAAGAACAGAGAAAATATATAAATTCACTTCACAATTCTAATAATTTTTTTTAAAACATTAAACATTGCCAAGGAGTGAAGGTAGTTAAAATAATAATGGCGTCAAGGTAAAAACCATCCTTTGGACATTCCGTTTTTTTGTGGGCATAAAGGTCCAAGTTTGCCCAATTTCCTTTTGTTATTTTAAATTTAAATTTAATTTTAATTTGACAAACATTTAAGATGTTTAGAAAGTGACAGTTGGAATTTCTAGGTCACATAGTAAAGAAAGAGGGCTTGGAGAATTTGACACTCACAGGACATTTTGAAGGCAAAAGGAACAGGTGGAGGTAGTGGGCTACCTGATGAGGTTGTGTGAATGGATGGTGGAATGTGGTGGGGGTGTTGGTGGGTAAAAAAATGTTACTAAGAGCTAGAAAGGAGAGCCATGATCACCCATGCTCTGAAGGACATTGCACATAAAGGAACAGAATTATGATGTTGGTAACCTTTATTGATCATGAGACAAATACAATTCAATATTTGGATAAAGAAAAAACAAAACAAAACTGGTTTAGTAATAGTTATTGTAATTTGTAAAGATGAAATATGTGGTTAAAGTAGTTGTAACTAATATGTTAATCTCATTCTCTTTTTTTTCTCAGAATAAATTGAAAAAGATGAAGGAGAAATACAAAGAGCAGGATGAAGAAGAGCGTCTACTTAGGATGGAGATTCTGGCGGTGAGTATATGATGTCTGTTGTGTCTGTGAAACCCTGAATGTTATGAAATTAACTCCTTTGGCGATATCAGTTATTGTTAGAATGAAATCTCATTTGATAATTGGAAATCTGATGTACATTTTCAAATTCAATATTTAAATCTGTGGTGGGTACAAGATTTTATTAGAACTCTAAAAAATGGACATTTTGAAAGTAAATAGGAATACAGTGGGAATAATACAACATTCCATGGTCTGGTATCTTTTTAAAATCAGTTGCCATTAGTTTGTTGAGAAGCTATGAAGGCAGTACCACACATTGTTTCCAACTTTTTGCAGCAAATTTTTTTTGTGATATGGTCTTGCTCATTTCTTATACATAGCTGCATATTTATCAATTCAGGATAGTAAGTATATATTATTTTTGGGTTTTAGGCTTTGTTTAAACTTTGAATGAAACAATAAATGTTTTAAGCTTTGTTTTACCTTTGATAACACAGCAATATATATATATATATATATATATATATATGGAATGAGCTGGTAACACTATCTTTACATAGGATTTTTATTTTTTGGGAGTAATTTCTATCATCCAACATTTTCTGTGATCCAGCACTGTCAGGGTTCCACTGGTGTCAGAATAAAGCGGTTGGACAGTATATACAAAAATAAAACTAGGAGCAAGAGCAAGGATAAGAAAAAAAAAAGTTACTCACTGTAAAGTTATGGCTCAAAAAATATAACAATAAAAAAGAAATAACAAAAATGGTTAACGTAGAGCAATGACGTGCTATATACTTATGTGTAAAATTCAGATATAAGTAAAAATATATCTCTAAAGCGTCAATATGAACAGAGATAAAAAGAAATCTTTGCTGACCTGTTTTATCCTCTGATTGGCTTTATTAAGGCAAATGTAAGGGTTTTATTTTGCAATAAGTATTTATAAACAGAAATAAAAATCTTAGTTTTTCTGAATTTTTAAATTTAAGAAGGCCCATAAATGTACATCAGGATGACTGAAAGTCAAGGTAAATTATTGAAGATGCTAAATGATTTAATTTAATGTTTAATAAATGAAAGTGAGTAAATGTTGTGTTTGGGTATGTGATTATCTTTTGACTATTGATTACCTATCTATTTAAGTAGATAAAAAACAGATTTTGCTATTAACCTTCATCACTCTGTAGGTGACTATTTTTGCCAAGCAAAATGTTAGTCCTGCCAATGTTAAATTTGAATTTCTTGTTTGTGTAGCCATATGCTTCTATGGCAACACCTAAAACAATCTTGATTGAAATTGAGAGCCAGGCTACTGCAATTTCAAATATATAGAACTAATATATAAAACACAATATTTTGACAGTATTCCATATAGATTAAAAAGGGGAAGTAATATTTATAAATGATACAGAATGCTAAATGTTAAATAACCCAACAATGGAGAATATGTCATAAAATTCGCTAACCATTACATCATCTGCACCATTTTCTTGATTGGTTCTTGTTGGTGTTCACTATGATGATTGAATTTCATTTTTCTGCTCATGCCTGGGCACGTAAGGTGGTTATAGGAGAGTGGTTTGTTCAAGTGCTCCCTTACCTATTTTCTTGATTGGCTTCTATCAACATTGATTATGGAGGGACAGCTTTTTATTGCTAGTACCTTGGCAGGTAAGGTAGTTATGGGAGAGTGGTTTGCCCAAGAGTTCACACAGTCCTCTATTCTCTTCTCTATCTACCATCAGTTAAAATTTGGTCTCAGTTTACCAATTCCTCTATTTCTATTTTTTTTTTTTTATTGTGATGACAAATCCTTCACCTGACACTTCTTGAATTTGTACTGAATATATCAGGTCATCCCATAAGTTCTGTCCGAATTTTGAATAAAGAAAACAAGTGACCAAATGTTACATTTAATTACAGATTCAGTCAACAATGTATTTTCCCTGATTATCTATGACTGCCTTCCATCTATTAACAAGCTTACTAATTCCATTACTGTAAAATTCTTTTGGCTTTGATTCAAAGAACTCACAAATGTCAGTTTTAACCTCTTCCTGTATTACAAAAGCTGTTTCTTCCAAATGATTCTGTAAGCTATGAAACAAATGGTAGTCTGAAGGAGCAAGATCGGGAGAATAAGGTGGATGAGGAATTTTGTCCCAACCAAGTTCTTCGATCTTTTGTGACATGATTCGTGCTGTGTGGGGTCGCGCATTGTCCTGATGAAACATCACCTCTTTTCGATTCACTAGAGCAGGTCTTTTTTTCCTCAAAGCTTGGTTCAAACGCGCTAATTGCTGACAGTTTATTTGAGCATTAATTGTTGCATTAGGTGGTAAGAATTCAAAGTAGATTATTCCTTGGCGATCCCACCAGATTGAAAGAAGAACCTTTTGCCCATGAAGTTCCCTTCTCAGCTGTGGCTGGGGTCCTTCCCCTTTACCAAGCCACTGTCTACAATGAAGTTTTAGAGAAAATCGGAACAAAAAGGAACATCAGAAAGAGATAGTCAAAATTTCTAGGGCACATAATGAGGAAAGAGGGCTTGCAAAATTTGATATTCACAAGACAGATTGAAAGCAAGAGGGATAGAGGAAAACAATGTCTAACCTACTTAGCAAGCTTGAGTAAATGGTTGGGGGGAAACAAGGTTTAGGAGAAATAACAAAAAGATAAAAGAGCAACAAAGGACAGGAAATTGTGGAGATCCATGATCACCATCATCCTGAATAGACATAGCACATAAAAAAGATTTTGATTTTAGCCTTTGGGTTGTCAATAAATTGCATGTAGCTTTTTTTGCAAATAATAATTATAAAGTTGCTCATAGTTGCACAAACTGGATGAAAATGGAAGATTTTACTGTCAGAAACTGCATTTATTTTTAGCATCAAATAGAATATTCAGGTGTTTATTATTTAAGTACATTTAGTTGAAATCATTTGTTGTGTTCTGTGTTGTCACTGGCTTTAGCCTTGCAGATCCTGATACCACTTCATAGATTGTATCAATGAAAGACAAGAGGGATAGACATGGTAGAATCGATTCTAGTTTCAGAAGGCCTAGTCTATATAATACTTAATAATGCCATTTTAGATTAAGGTTTGGTAGATAAGTTGGTTGTAGTTTGTCACTCCCCACCCTTTTATTTTAAAGTAAAAAAAAAAGAAAAAAAAAGGGATTTATTTATAAATAGATTATGCAATCGCAAAATCGATTTATCTATAATAGGTTATGCAATCGCAAAAGAATAAAAATGTTGAGTTTAAATGTAATAAGTTTGTTTTTGAAGTAAATACAAAACAGCTAAACTATTTGCATCCATTTTTGCCTCCTACTTCATTATTGTACACATCCTTCCTAATCATTTCTGTCTGGATTCTTTTATTATTGCAGTCTGCTGGCCCAGCCAAGGAAGAAAAGAAAAAGAAAGGTAAAAAAGACAAAAAACCACAGACAGAAATCAAAATGCGTGGCCATATTCCTGATAAGTTAAAGATCTCTTCAGATAAAGGTGCCAAAGAGCAGAGTGATGGAATGGTTGTATCAGGTAAATATCTGCTTCTTGAGTTACATTCCCCAAAAATACCACCTGTTGTTGAAGATGAATAATTTCTCTTGTCTCTGATTGTCATGGAAAACATTGCTTACAGAATATCAATATTTAAGTAATAAACAAGTAAATTTAGTTGATTTTTTTTCTTTTCATGTGTTCATGTCATTATCAAAATTGGGTGTAATATTGACACTAGGATGACAGTGAACATGTGGACTGGGCACTTTTTCTCCTTGACCCATGTGTGGGTATATGGTCTCCCCACTTAAAATAAATGATAAGCATGCATAAAAACAGCACCAATTGTTATCTTGTAGGAATACACAATCCAATATATTGGCCAGCAGTTCAATTCCATTATCTGGGCTCATCTCCTTCACAGTTAACATAGATGTGGCCAATCTGGCTCTGTTGTTCTCTGCTAAATTCAATTGCATGGCAATAGCCTATTTGCTTTTTGGCAAGTCTGCTGCTACAAAGTGTAGGGGCAGACACAAAATCAAAAAGAGAATTTCTTGTTCAAAGTGACAAGGCTTGACCAGGCACCTGATACAAAAACTGACAGGAGAAATTGACAGGGTTTTAAATGCAGCTTTAGGATTGAACCACATTTAACAAACAGGGCTACCAAACTTCCTGATGGCTGATTTAAATGTAATTATCTTTTATGCTGTTCTAACACACTGGCCTCTTAGTATACAATGTGTTGACTTGAGAAAGGATTTTAGGGAGTGGGAAGTCGTAAATGTGGGTTCAAAAAGAAGCAGTTTTTGTTTATATAAGAGAATTATACAATTGTGTTAACAGCAGCAAAAGACAACTTACCTCCCAAAAAATGGCAAAAAAAGTTAGTGACATTTAAATAAGCAAAAGGAGACATCAGAAACTGTGAAACCAATTTTGATTGGTTGAAAATCAAAAAGATTCATATCAATAAATGGCTTGGTCCAAGATTTGCAGATTCATGTCAGAGGCCTGGAAGCTAGCTGGGAGGTGATTGCTCCTGTTTGGGTCACCTAGGAGAGGGGGTTTGATGTTTTTGGATGACTGGAACCCCCAATGACACTAGGAATAAATATCATTTGTAAGAGCAGATACGAAATCCAAAAGAAGGAAATAGCAATGGCTTGTTCAAAGTGACAAGGGCTTTATCTGATAAAAAAACTGGCATAGAGGAAATTGGCAGAACTTAAATAGAGCTCCATGATTGGACCACTTTTAACCAGCTGCTGCTGATTTGAATACAATTAACTTCTATGGAGTTCTAACAATAAAGACCTTGTGTCATGTCCTGTCTTAGTAGGGTGGGGGGAGGTTAGGTACATGAAATGAAAATACTAACATTAGAATGTTGACAATGTTTAACCTTTATACCAACAAATAAAAGAAAAAGTGTGTCAAAAGGACAGTTTTTCTGTTGACACTGCTATTACTTTAAACTACCAAGACTCCCTGCTGATTGCAGTTAAGCATGAAACGGACTGTTGCCGCTGGGTGTTGACCTCAATGTCCACTTCTATATTTACATATGCTCTATCCCTGATATCAAGCACTTTATCTCAGAAATATAGCATACCTTATAAGTATATTTTTATCATAATTACTTTATTGTAATTTTTTGTGACAGTATAATTAATTTTTATTTTTTTATGAATATGGCAGTTTCAACAAAACCACCTCTTCACTCAAAAGAAACAATCTTTCATAGGTACCTTGTGCATGTAAACACCCAACTCCCTCTCCCCCTTACACCTTTGTCCAACTCTTTTTGTATTCTTTCTATTGCTAAAGCAATAAAATATGTTGTTGGTGTCAGTTGTATGTAATTGTTAGTATTGAGCATACTCCGATATGTCCACTTTCCTATCAACTAAGCATTCTGGGTAAGGCGATAAGCTATATCCAATAATAAGGCTTCTGATCAGGAGGCTTTGAGGAGCGTGGAACCACCTCTTAATTACTGGTGTTCCCAGGTCCACCCTGTCCCGGGGTGGTAGCACCTGTTAGAATCCCAGCTATGGCAACTAGTTAACCCCCAAACTGAGGTCAAAACACTATGAAAGTGTAAAAATAGGTTTTAATACCAGAAATACTTTGTAAAAATTATTAACAGCAATACATTTTTTAAAAAAAAATATTACCAGCAATATGTTTATGAAAAAAAAAAAATTACCAGCTATAGATTTTTTGAAGAAAAAAAATATTACCAGAAATAGATTTGAAGGAAAAAATATTACCATCAATCCATTTTTTGAAAACAAATAAAAAATATTACCATCAATCCATTTTTTGAAAACAAATAAAAAATATTACCATCAATCCATTTTTTGAAAACAATTAAAAAATATTACCATCAATCCATTTTTTGAAAACAAATAAAAAATATTACCAGCAATAAAAATTTTGTCAGCATTAAATAACCCATTGGGGCTGATATGTCGTAAAACAAACCAAACCTATCAACTAAATATTCCTCAATACTCCTACTTATTAATGAGATATTCAGTTATTATGGTTGCACAAAATGTGATTATTTATTGGTATTGATTAAAGCCTTTTGCTATCATAATCATGGAATATCTCCTTAATACATAAGGAAGATTAAGCTTCACGACTGATTAATATATAAAGTAACATTGTTTTTTATATTGTCTAAGGGATTTACAAAAAATAATTTCCATTTTCTTTCTTGTGCAGGTGATGGCCAATTTCCAAATTCAAAGCTTGGCAAAGATAATGATATGAAACAGGTAAATGAATAAAAAGAAAAAATCTTTTTGGGATATAAGTACATTTAAAGCCCCAACCCACTTAAACATTTAGGGTCATGTTGTAGTACCTTTTTGAATGTCTTCAAACTTGAACTATCCAGACTCATTTAATAAAATCGTTTCACAAGCTAAACAGCTAATTTTGTCAAATGACTGTAATAAGGTCTTGTTTTTGTTGTACATTTCTGCTAATAGTTTTTATCCTTGAAATTATTGATAGTTTTGTTTCTAATTTGATGGACAGGTTAAAAATTTGATTTTGTTTTCTTAATTCTGTTGTCCTTATGTTTGCATTGTATTTATTTTGTCTGTTTTGTTTTTAGGAAGAAGAGTCAGACGATGAAAAACCAGATGAAGATGACCTGTCTCATCAAATAGTTGTAAGTTGAATTCTATACTTCCAGGATTTTTTTTTTTTTTTTTTTTTTATTTTATTTTTCTATTCTGTCTCTTTCTTTCTTTTATTCCCATTTCTTTTATCTTACTTTTTTCTTTCTTCATTTTATTTTTTTACTATTTTTTCCTCTTTCTTTTCTGGGCTTACGGTCATATCACATTGAAACACTGATATGATCACAAAGTTAAGCATTGTTAATCCTGGTTAGTACCTGGATGGGTGACTGCTTGGTGATACCAGATGCTGTAAGCTTGGACAAGTGGGTGGTGTAAAGGATAATGGCTTGGAATTGTTAATTGGAGAGATGAGTTCCAATTCCTGTTGGGTTCATTATATCTACTTACACACATACACTGCTGAAAGGGTTAAGTCATCAAAAACATATCCATCAATCATGTATATTTTCAGTCATTAATAATAGGACAATATAATAAACAATGTTACTTTATATATTTATCAGTCATGCAGCTTAATCTTCCTTATGTATTAAGGAGATATTCCATGATTATGGTAGCAGAAGTCTTTAACCAACACCAATAAGTAATGACATTTTGTGCAATCATAATAATGGAATATATCTGTGTATGTGCACATATATCTGCACACTGACACACACATTTAAAGGTTGCACCAATTAATCAGTAGATAATCAGTGATGGAATTACCCTTAATAAAGATTATCAAAAAAGAATCAATGAAAAATTTATTATAATATTATTTAAATTCATTTTATGTCTGAGATAGCTGATGATTCTCAAGATATGAAATTTCTTTGATGTAATAATGATGACTGAGCATGAAAATAGATTAATTGCTAAAACAAGGCTGATGACCAATTAATCAACAAATGCTGACATGACCAATTACTAACCAATTAATTGGTTCAACTCTAATATATATTGGGTTGGGAAATCATATATATAAAAAAAATCTCAGTATCCTTACATCTAGCTATGTTGAAACAATATAGACTAATGCATAAATAATACTTTTTAAGGGTCAGCTGTCAACCTAATAATACTGTATTTCCTTTTCATGAGACCAATAATAGCCACAAGCCCCACAAGTGATCAACTTCATTTTGTGTTTCATTGAGAAAGGACACAGGCCTGTCTGAAAATACAGATTTTTAATATTTTTATCATGCATCCATTTGGTCAAGAAGCCTACTAATATACAATACATATTATTATTATACTTTGTTTTTCATATTTCTTTCATTGACCTGCTGTACCTACATAAATATAATTGTGTATGTGTGTGTACATATATGATGATGGCAACCTAAATTTACAAAGTAGTTATACTGACTACCCTCCTTTATAGCATAATCCTGGGTTATCCTTGATATTCAACCTGTTCTCTATTGAACGTTACCGTCAGTGTTACTTTTTCATAATTTCTAATTCACACTTGAGTGAATTCCTAACAAACATTGAAGTTATCGAGACAGTCTGTGCCACAAACAATGAAGTGATACTGCAAAAGGTTGATTTACTCTAGAAAAGCCATCATCTCTTAAAGATCCTACTGTCTGGTGAAATATTTGCAGACCTATTAAACAGAAGAGTGCCACAGAAGTGATACATTGATGCCCTAAGAAAACCTTTGTTGCCTCTGGTATTGACAGGGAGACATAGCAACAAACTTTACTTTTCCAAGTATAACTGCAGAATCAGATCTGTGGAGAAGAGGCTGTACCTTAAAACTTGGAGTTTCCTTCAGGTTGTCATACCTTCTTCTATTGCTTTTGTAGCAGAACCTGCCTGTCCTATATTAGACTCATTATCAGTGGAACAGCAACAGACATGGAACACCTTCTTAAATCTTTTCTTTGGTAGAAATTATGAATAATTAACAATGCTTTATCTACAAAATTCAAACAATATTACTACTATTACTACTAGTGCATGTCAACAAGTATGTCAACTGCATCCCCTGCAAGACTAATGATCTCCACTTCTGAAAGGGGCCACCTTACAGATTGATTATTGCAGACTCTAGTGTAAACTGGATCTGTGTCCACCTTGTTTAATTGAAGTGTAAACCTGACCTATCTGTTACTTCATTGTGATTTTTGTCCTGTAAAACTTATTTTTGTTATTAAATAACCTAACATGGATTGATTTATTGACATTAAATTAACCAAACTAGCCTAACGAAAGATGGCAGCAAATAAGGGATTTGGGAAAAATAAATGAAAGTTCTTTAGTTATTGTTGGACTTGTGTAACTGATTCATTTTCATAGCCTAATTGGTAATGTATCTGTTGTGGACAAGTTTTCTGTGGATAAAGGATGTAAGTTTGAATCTTGCTGGAGATTTATTCTTCATTTCTGCTTTCCTTTCTTCACTAATGATCATAGAAAAATGATGTGAAGAGTTGTGGCAAAAAACAAGAGAATAAGATGAAAGAAATATTAGAAATGAATCATGAATAATTGACTTTTGTATTCTTAACATTTTGCAAGACAGGAAAAGAAAGAAGAAAATTGTTTTCTTGATTTTCTACCATTAGGCTCAATGTTATTTCATAAATTCCTATCCTCCTGATGTCAATTTAAACTGACACAGCCTTTTTTTCCATATATTTTCATCATTTTCTTGATTTCAGGTGAAAAATTGGAAATTTTTTGATATATTTCAGTTAAATTTTTATTTTTCAAAAGTATAGATTTTTTTTTTTTTTTACAGTAAGGTTCACCCTGTACAAGGCCTGGGTGCCACTCATGGTAGAGGGCTACATTAAGAGGCAGTTTATACAGATAGGAGTGGAAGATAACAGTTAAGCCTAGATGTCAACAGGTTAATATTGTGATTGGGGAAACATGTTCTTGGGAATTGGTTCTACAGAACAGTGATTTGCAGGAAGAAGCTATTTGAATGGAACTTGCTATTTACTGATGAAATACGGAAGGAATGTGGGTGGTTTGCTGCAATATGTGGCATGGTGGGGGTCCAAACTGTGAAGGTTAGACCTGACAGAACCAAGGAATGTAGTTTGTTCAAGTACTTTCCATAGAAGTAGCGATAGAGCAGTAAGAGGCTTTCCATATCCCGCATGTGAGAGAGAAGTTGGAGAGTGGAAGGTAATTTGTTAGTCAAAAGGACTCTGAGATGCTTTTGAACTTTATTGAGACTGAAAAGTGAAGATTGGGTAGCTCCCATCAAAATATAACAATAGTACTCCATTTTCAACCTGATCTGGCTCTTGTAAAGGTAGAGGATAACATATGGCGGTCAGGTACTTACTGGAGTAGTACAGGTAACTGAACATTTTACCTATGTAAAAGAAAAAAAAAGTGACAGTTTAAACTGATACCAAGAGGATATAATTTGCATTGACACCTTTTTTTCCATGTATTATGACTATTTTGCCTAAATTTTGTGTTTTCTTGTTTTCAGATGAAAATGTGGAAAATTTTCAACATATTTCAGTGAAAATTTATTTTCCTAAAATTATAGTTTATAATCATAACTCAGATATATGGGGGAGGGGAAAGAAAGTGTTGGTTTAAATTAATAATAAGAGGATATAGGTTAAACTGTCTACAAATATCCATATTAAATTCAATTCATAGCTCTGTTTTAATTACTTTACTTCTTTTAATTATTTCTTCAGACACATATATTTAGAATAAGCTAAAAAACATGTCTCTTCTCCATTTTTCTAGGATACACAGATTCTTGATTCGCTAACTGGCTGTCCTGTGAGTGAAGATGAATTGCTGTATGCTGTCTGTATGGTTGCTCCATACAATTCTATTGTGAATTACAAGTGAGTTGCCAGATCATCTCTCTCTCTTTTGACATCTTCCTCTTACTTCAACTTTGCTGTTCCTCTCCTCCAACCACTACTTGCATGTTCACTTAATCTCCTTCTCTTTCTTGAATTTTTAACTATTTTCCCACCCACCCTTTTTTTTTTTTTTTTTTTTTTTTATTTTTTTAGGCATACTAGAAACCTATACTGAAATAGTTAACTCACCAAAAATCAAGTAATGATTCCAAGTCATGTTGCTACACTTGCCAATGAAATAGCCAGCAAACTAGCTAAAGACACCCTCAACAATACAATAACCAACACAAAGATAATCCATAGAGACTCAAAAGACAAAATAAAATGACATCAAAAACAAAAAATGACAAGAGATATGGGACTCAAACCTGTACAATATTCAGCCTATTATAGGAGGATTGGCTCCCATGTTTTGGAAAAATAGTTTTATCCAATAGGATACATACATTTGACACACTGACACTAAAAAAAATGAAACTCCTCCATCATGCAACAGATGTTATGTACTTCTCACATTTGAACATATACTCATAAGTTTCCATTATCTTGGTCAAACCTGAACAAAATATTGTCAAGCAAACACTACAAACTCTTTTAAAAAGACTAAAACAAACAATATCCTAAATTTCTTAAAGGAAATCAAATTTTATACCAAAATATAAAAATATCCTTAGGTAAGAAAAAAAAAACTGTTAGGATAGTACTTATGGTTACATCTAGCTAATTCAACATTATATTGATGAAACCTAGTTGCCAGTTGAGTTACCAAGGTGGAAAGCTCATTAGAACAACTGCTATGAAAATATTTATAGAAAATACAGATGGAAGTATTGGGAAATTGACTAAAATTGAGATGCCAGTTCAGGACAAATAACATTACAGACCCTTTTTTTTTTTTTTTTTTTTTTTTTTGAGAATCTTAAGATCTATAGCCAGAGCACCAGATGAGATATAGCAGCAATATTCAGTGCATGGATGAATGGTAGATTTATAAATGTGCAAGATGGATTCAGATAAAAAAAATTTATCTGGCACAACACAGTGAACCAACATTCACTATAATTGTTCCATTTCATGTTAGTAGAAAATATGAGACCAAGAAGGTGCAAGGAGTTGCTATCCTCGAGGTTAGCATCAGCCATAATTGCAAATTTTTCACAATTGATCTGATGGAAGCACTCAAGACTGCAGTATATATATATATATATATATATATATACACACACACACACACACACACACATTTTAAGCATAAGTTATTTTAAAAGTTTATTTATCTAAAGAGCCAATTGCAATTTAAGAGGTCCTGTAGCACAATATTCCTTCTATAGACATATTATGGTATTTATACTACATCATCATAGAGATAGACAATTATCTTCTGGCAACGTAAAAAAAATGTTACACACACACACACACACACACACACACATAAAGGGGATGCTGAAAAGTTGTTGACCTGGCCAAGAAGCCCTAAGAAATAAAAATTTGATGTTTAATTAGATTTTTGGAAGTAAGGCTGAGAACTTTCTAGTATCCTCTCATGTATTGTATAATGAATTATCATTTATACTAGATATTTATGTAACCCATGGTATCATGGTAGGATTTCTAAAACAAATATATCAAAACTAATGTTTACTTATATATTGACAGAAAATTCTGTTTGTTGTGTAACAATAATGCATATTGTCTGAATTTTTTGAATCAGGAATCATTGATTCATTCATCTTTTGGTTGTTGTCACAATGTTTTGGCTGTTGTGTCTACCTCTGTCTTCAGGTGTTTTGTAGTTTGTAACCTCATTTCAAACTGTACTCTTTATTCAAGGTAGATTAGCCATACTAGAGGATATCTTGTATCAATTAATTCTATCTCATTAATTTATCTTTGTTATGTCATTTACCTCTTCTACTAAATCATAGTAATAGGACAGGGATTGAACTTTTGATCTCCCAGTAACTTGGTTTGCTTAACCAATATGTCTATCCACTAAGCTATGTGTCTTGTGGTTTACACATTTTAAACCTCATGTTTCTTGTCATGGCAAAAGTGGACTATGTTTTTTTTTTTTTTTTTTTCTTCATTTGGTGTTCATCTCTATGCTGGGCTGACTATGTGTAGTAATAAGCTTGTATTTTATTGCTGACTGTATTTGAACTTAGTATATGATGGAGGTGAAGGTTTAAATTCTGTCTACTGACCTGACTGCTCCTCCACCCTACTTCTGCTTAGCCTTTTCTACCCTAACAAATATTTCTAGCAATAAAATAAAATGAAAACCAATGATTAAGTAACAGATTTTGTCATTCGCAACATTTAATTGTAAATCAGAAGGAAAGGGATTGTCAATGGTCAGAAAATCTAGTGTTACTGATAAGACAGAGCTATTTATAATTTATGAGATATTGAAATGTTCTTAGCATTCTACCCACTTTCCAAAAGTTGAGTAAATGATCAAAAGTTTAGTAGGATCCTGAAATGTTCTTAAAAGTTCAGCATAATATTGAAAACTGTTATAAAGGTGGGAATTTATTATTGTAAACTTTTTCTAAAGTTGTTTCCTAAAGCAATGAATAGAGATTACTACACAACAAATCACTGCTATTTTCTTTAATTGCATATAACCAGAGCTGGATTTAGGTCTTAACAGGCCCCTGTGATAATAAAATTTGGAGATGCCTTCATTACGTATGTTTGCACTCCTGTGTTTATAAAATAATCTAAATAATGTCCCTTCAAGGGACTCAATTGAATTTAAAAGACCCATTCCAACTAGAGGGGCCCAAATACTCTAAATTGTTTCAAATTAGTTCAAAAGGAGATGCATTAAATCTGAAAATAAACAAATATCCTCTGTTCTTAGATCTTTATTTTTTTTTACTTTTATCAGGGGTCTCAAGACTAGAGGTAGCCACCAAGGTCCCCCACCACCTGTCTATAGGCCCTTGGGCTGCAGCCCATACTAGCCCATATGTAAATCTAGTACTGCATACAACTGATATTTTAAGTTTTACAATCTGAACAAGATTAAAGAATTGTCATCATAATTCTGTGTATAAAAAACAGTATTCCTCATTGTCATTAAAAGACTGTGAACATTTCTGTTTGGTAGACAACAGATGGTGATCAAGTTTCACTGGAAATTCTGTGTATAACTGACTAAAAAAAATGAGGAAAACAGATACTACACTTAGTATTTATTTGTCTCCCCCATGATGACGGGATAAGGCACAAGGCCAGTTTAAATTTTAGGAGCCCACAGGGATCAAGCCCAAAAATTACTGGGTCCCTGCCGTCAATTTCACACTGGTGTCAATATTTCACCGACCCTCCCTTTTTGGTGCAATGAGGGAAGTGCTTCTATAGGGTTGGAATCCCTAAGACCAGGCACCTCTCATTTATTTGTTGTGTTCTGTCCAAAGACAGAAACACAACTGAGAGATTACATGTAGTTTGTTCACCCAAAAGCAGATACTACACTTTGATTTTGTATAAAGTACTTGGTAATATGGTTTTGTCTCACCCCATGCAAATATAATGAACAGCTCTCAGTAATGTATTTTATGCTGTTCAATCTAATAATTTACTGTCTGTTGTAATAACAAGATAATTTCAATATTGGATTTAATTTCACACATTTCTTAGCATCAACTGATATTGTTATAACAGGAACCATTGTGAAGCCTCTTTCTGTACTTCTATTACTACTACTAATACCACCCATTCAGAACTCCAACTGCTACCACCCATACACATCTAGTACTATTACAACAACCACCCCATTTCATTCAAAGACACTACTATTACTACAACCACCCCTACACATTTAATATTGCTATTACTACTACTATTACAACTATATCTATTCATTAAGCAGTACTATTCCTATTCATCCAACATTTCCTTTACTAGTACTACTACTACTACTACTACTACTACAACCACCTCCCCACTCATTCAACAGCACTACTACTACTACAACCACCCCCACTCAATCAATATTACTACTACTACAGCCACCTCCACTTATTCGGTAGTAGTACTACTACTATAATCACCACCCACTCATTCAGCTTGAGTGATAGTGCCTTTAGTAGTAGTACTACTATTACTATTACAGCCATTCCTACTCAATCAATGGTAGTAGTAGTACTACTACTACAGCCACTCCCACTCAACCAGTAGTATTACTACTACTACTACTATAGCCACTCCCACTCATTCAACAGTACTAATACCCACAATTATTTAACACCACTACTACTACTACAACAAGCATCCCCTATTTATTCAGCTTTACTACTACTACTACTACTCATTCAACAGCACTACTACTACACATTTAATAATGTTGCTACTACAACTAAGTCTAATCATTAAGAGGTACAACCCCCTTCCACTGACTCATTTTGCAAATTTTATTCTTGAAAAAGATGTTCACTATTTATATGGTTGCTTATCTTCAAAAAAAGTATATATTCTTCTTAGTGATCTCTGTCATGGTTAACAATGAAGGTAACAGCTCTTTGCATGTATAGGTAAGTTTTTTTGGAAGATGCTTTGTCCAAGTGTTCACTCATCCACTTTCTCTCAATCATTGCTTGCTTGTGATAAAATATTTTTGTACAGGGAGAAGTGGGTTCATGTCCTTTCCTAAGGCATCTGCATGATGTCAATAGAAGCAGGCTCATCTGGAATTTAAACTCATTTCAGAGATTCTGTGTTTTATTAAACAACCTCACACCTTTTCAGAAAACATTTTTTAATTTTCATTCAGTGGGTAGAGGGCATCTCCATCCAGTAACAGTCCATGTTCTTATGGGGAGGACATTTCTGTCCAGTAATGGTCCATGTTCTCTAGGAGCATGTTCTGGCTCCATGTTCTCTGGGGGTGTCTCCATCCAATAACGGCCCACATTCCTTTGGACATCTTTATTAAATAATAAGTTTCATTCTTCTCTAACAAATGAGTGTCT